AGACATGTCTTATCATTAAAGACCACACTCCCATGCTTTGCACTGCTATCATTTCGCGAGCGCTATTGGCCGAACGGATGGTCATACTAAAGATACCATTTGGGAACGCGCGACAAACGACAGGAGACCAAAACAGCAGTAAGGCGGCAAATATTGCCATACTAAATCTACTGTCGTCTGTCGAGTTTACCGAAATATGTTTCAGACTTCATGATACCAGGCTTTAATACCATTTTTAATAACAGCTCACTAAATCAATGTGATGGTGTCTTAATTTTTGTACATAGAAACCTTAATTTTAACATAAACCACTTTAAACTTAATCAGTCTCAGGTATTAATATCACTTTTAACATTAAATATAGCCTTAACATTATGGCTTGTAACAGGTCGCCAGCCACAAGTGAAAAACTATTTGTCGAAGATTTAGATAAATTTTTATGCGATATAAACAGAAATGACTTCGATATAATAATTGGAGATTTAAATTATGATATATTAGATTACTCAGATGCGTCCAGTAATAATTACATAGCAATGCTACTATCCCATGGTTTTGAATCTCATATAAATATTTATACAAGAGTGGCCCCAACATCTGCATCATGCTTAGATCATATTTTTGTATGGAAAAAGTCAACAGTCACTAAATTCACAAACAAAGCATCTGTTGTAAATTATAACTTAACTGATCACTTTCCTATTTATTTCTCAATAAATCATAAAGAGCAGAAAACATCAGACAGTAAATTAACCTACAAACATATTAAAAAATTTGAGGATAACAAATTTTCAAATTTAATTTCAACTATTGAGTGGTCAAAAATTATTTCTAACAAAAACCCTGCAGAAGCTTATAATATGTATTCTGAAATAGTTACCAACTTAATAAATCGGTGCACAACCACCTCAACAATTACAATATAAGAACACAAAAACTAAAACCCTGGATAACTAATGGTATAATAAACTCAATTAAAGTTAGAGGTAAACTTAAAAAACTAGTTAATAAAAACAAACAAAACTTGGATATTTTAAATAACTATAAAAATTATAGAAATCATTTAAATAAAATTATAAGTTGCAGCTAAAACTAAATATTATGCCAATATTTTTGAAAACACAAAAGATATTAAAAAAATTTACAGTACAGTAAAAGAAGCTATAAATGAAAAAAACTAATAAATCTAATGAAGAAATTGTTATTAAAAATCACAAAACCCATGACACTTTTACCACTGTTAAAGAAATGGTTGATTTTTGTAATAAATACTATATTGAAGTTGGTAGTAAATTGGCAGAAACCATCAGACAAGTTTAAAATAAATTATCCGTCTATCAAAGACTCTTGCTTTCTAAAACCAGTTGATGAAAACGAAATTGCGTCACACATCAAAAGTTTAAAAAACGGTAGCTCACCAGGAATTGATAACATCACAACAAAAATGATTAAAAATAACTATAATCATTTTTTATGCCCACTTACACATATAATAAATCTAATATTTCTGACCGGCATTATACTTGAATAGTTTAAAATTTCAATAGTTGTACCTATATATAAAAATGGAAATAAAAATAACATAGTTAATTAGAGACTTATTAGTCTTATAAACACAAATGCTAAAAATTTTGAAAAATGCATTAAAGTATGACTATCTACCCAAAAATAACATTCTCAGTGAAAAGCAGTTTGGGTTTAAAACAGGGTTTAGCACTAACGATGCAATGTTTGAACTTGTTAACCGAATCAAACTTACTTTGGATAAGGGTGATAAATGTATTGCAGTGTTCTTGGATTTAGCAAAGGCATTTGTTACAGTGCCTCATCAATTTCTGCTTAATACTTTACAGCAGTATGGAGTGAGGGGCACTGTATTAGATCTTTTCAAAAACTATGTGTTAAATAGAAAACAGATGGTGAGAATAAAAAATATCTCAAGCGAACCGGAAATCGTTCAAATGGGAGTGCCCCAGGGAACGATTCTTGGTCCAATTTTATTTATCATTTATATCAATACTATGTTATAGACGCTCTATAATCAACCTTGTCTTTTTACATAAATTATTAAATGGATATTTGGACAGTCAATATTTATTGAGTCAAATAAAAATCAATGTTCCAATAGCAGGTATTCGTCCCCGTCAATTAACTTTTCGTGCGGATAATCATGGTCCAGTAGAAAAAATTTGTCTTTTGTTTAATGTACACTCCGAATGCATTTCTTGCGGTATTTTTGATGTAGCTATAAGCACATATAGAAAGGAACTTAACAAAATTGTTGGGCTCGATTAAAGAGACATAACCTTGTAGGATTTCCGTGGCCTTGGTGTGGAGTTTTGCAGACGCTCTGATTATTCCTGAATATTTCTGATTATTTCAGTAGTTTTGTTCTTTAATAAACTTTGTTAAAATTTTGTAGTAGCGAGGTTTGTTTATTATAATTTCACTTATATAGTTAATTAGATATTATGTATGTATTATTGTTGATTTCTATTTTCGCTGTATTTATAGGAACATGTAATTAGGCTCATGCCTGTTTGTTTCTGGAATAAATAAATAAATAAAAATTACAAATAAATGGTGCAATAATCTCATATGCAGATGATACTGTCATTGTATTCGAGGATAGTAGCTGGGAAGCAGTCAAAGAAAAAGCCAAAATGGGTATAAGTACTTTTAAAAACTGGCTTGATTTTCATAAACTCTCTTTAAATATCTCTAAAACCTCCTTTCTAGCATTCACGTTAACTAACGTTAACAGGCCTTCTTTCGACATAAAAATAAATGAAAACTTTGTAATTAGAATGAACAATACAACAAAATACCTCAGTATAATAATTGACCAAAATTTGAAATGGAGTGAGCACATTCAATCATTAACAACCAAGGTTAGAAGATTTATTTTTAAATTTTATGAGTTAAGAAAATTTATGACTAGGAGTCTACTAATTACTATTTACAATTCGTTGGTTGAATCTATTTTCCGATATGATTTAATAATATGGGGTGGTTTATATGATATAGTACTTCAACCTCTCAATGTAATCCAAAATCGTATCGTCAAAATTATTTACAAAAAATCGTCATATCCTACCTCTCTCTTATATAACAAACAAGTGCTTAATATAAGAACATTATATTATCATTGTTGTTGTACTTTTATTTATAGAAAGCCTGAACTGAGACATACTGCAAAGCACTTGCACAACACAAGATACAGATTAAATGAGAATCTGAAAACGCCAGCAATTCAGCGAGATGCAAGTCAAAGATTTGTAACTTATGTTGCTCCGAAAATCTTTAACACGTTACCTGTCAATGTGAGGAACATAAAAAAATTTAAATTATTTCAGAAGAAATCAAAACAGTATATCACTTCTAATATTGGTGCATATAGAGATGTACTCTAGATAATTTTGTATTCTTATTAGAGATATTTTAAAACTATGTATATATGTAATGTATGTATACTATAAGTATGAATGTGTATATTACTATGCTATTACTTTACTTTAGCACATACAGGTGCTTGTATCTAGATGCTTTAACTTTAATTATAATTTGATTATTGTTTTAATTTAATTTTTAATTGTACGAAATGTATTTGTATCAAATAAATCAAACACAAATATAATTACATGTGTTCAGACGTGAAGAGACCGTGTTCGGTCTCGTTCGCTGTCGCGTCTAGGTCTCCTCTTGCGAAATGGTAGCTTGAATTTTTTTCAAAACTCGCATTATAAATACACCTTTCAATAGCTTTTTGTTCGAGTCGATAGATTGACAATTAAGGGAATGGCGCGCGGCCCATGTTTGTAAATTTCATCAAAGTTACCCCTATTTTTGTACACTTATAATTTATCTTGAAACCCGATTTGAAAAAATACTTTGTGACAATCAATCAGAAATTTAGTCCAGTACATGTTCCACAAAGGGTGTATTTTTAATGCAAATACTGTACAAACTGTATTGCAAAAAACACTGTTAGAATCACTATTAGCGAAGCGGATATTTCGGATATGTTCATCAAAGCATTTATTTATGTATACCTGCAAACTTTCAATGCTCTACGACAACTTTTAATTTTTACGAATGTATTGACATATGACCGCGCGCCTTTATTCGCGTCTTAGTCATGAAGTATTTGCATTAAAAATATATCTTTTGGAGAACATAAGCTAAATTAAATTTCTGATGGATTGTCGGGAAGCATTTCTTTCTAGTTTTTAAGGTCTTTCTAAATAATTGCATAAAATTTGATTGTAAAAATCATTGTAGTCCAGCACTATTTCAGGATGTTTTTCTACGGAAGTAACATTAGATTATTTTTGCTTTTTGCTCTGTGTTGAATAACATTTTTTAAATTTAATTTTTGTATTAAAAGATTTGACATTCAGTTTCAATTTCAAAATTAAAATGTCATTCTGTGGAAGTGGCCAAAGTACCAAACAAAATCTTTAAATGCTAACTCCAATTATGATTTTTCATGATTCCTTATATTATTCTCGATAATATACTGGCAAAAAGATGGATGGATGTAGAAATAATCAAGGTTGACATTTATTTATATAAAGGTTAATAAAGAGGATCTAAAAAAACACATTTGTTATTTTATGTATAGAGATAAATCATTCAATAAAGGTCACAGCTTTGTGGATATTATTTACTAGATCTATTTCTGTTAATTTAATTATGCATTTCATTAAAATTTTGAGTAAAATAAACTTTAGTGAGTTCTAGATGCAGTCTCCCAATTATAGCTATCTAAATGTTAATTATTTTTTCAAAATTAACCACGGCTAACCACTATGTAAAATTATATTTCGATTAAACATTTTATTTAAATGTATTATACCAGATGTCCCATATTTTTTCATACATCTAATACATAATTTGTCACTCCTAAAATAATACTATTTTGTATTATCCATGTTTTTCAATCTAAGTTTGGACAATTAATTTTTGTTGAATACTTATATTATTTTTGTATTTTTCAGTACAACTGTATCGACAATGGAGTACTCAGCATATACGTTATGCACCCGTTTTGGAATTGGGTAGTTAAGGTAATTTTTTAAGTTTTATAGTAAATTATTGTAAATAATATATGCGTCTGCTATTATAATTTCACTTTAGAAATAAAGACTTTACAAATTAAAAACTTAGATACCATATACAAAGCTTGTTTATTATCAGTTTTTTGAAAAAAGTCATTCTTCATTAAAGCTCTGCAGGGTCTAAAACCTAAAATACAACCATTAGATATCACATTTTTTAGTCATGTACGTGGTTTGTCGAAAAATATGAATTTTATGCAAGGGTAACCTACCCAGGAAACACACTTTGGTACAAATTACGTATTTTTTTAGCTATTACCATACATATGAATACGGTTGATATACTACCCAATATATTCGTGAAAATGTCCGCCCAATAAATGTATATTATTTGTCACATGTAAACGTCGATTACTACTAATTTATTCCTCTATAATTAACCGTGTTTAGATTTATAGTTGTAGGTAGTATATTTATACGAATAGACTTTGGTATAAAAGACGTTTTTTATGTACTATGTTATACGTATGAATATGCTACCCAAAATATACGTGAAAATGTCCGCGCTAGAAACGTATATTTATCGTGTTTGTAGTTTGGCCGGAAATTACGTTATCTATAGAAAAATATTTTATTTCAAAAAATAAACAAAATTTTAAATGAGAAACTTAACAGGATCTTTCTTTAACAAATAAACAATAAATATAAAAATAACAATCTTAAGTCATCACTTTGATGTGTTGTTCCAGACGTGCCATAGCAATGTTTAAGCCAGTCTTGTTTGTCACATTTTAATAGTTCGGTCTGTCAAATCGCTTGGTAGGTACACCATTGTTCCTATAGGTATCTTACGGCTTCTACAATAGAACCGTTTTTATTATAAAGGTCATATCATATCACTGTTAAAAGAAAATTACCAAAAATAACCACCGTAACGATACAGTTTTTTAATTGTTGCTTTTCACGGCCTAGCCGGTTAAATTTAATGGAAACTGGATTCCTCAGAAGGTATTTCATCAGGGGCGTGCGGTCCATGGAAGCGGGGGAAGCACCGCTTCCCTACACTTTGAGAAATATTTTTCAGTTTACAATGCATAGAAATTAATATTAAATTAGGTACTATATTTTCTCTGAAACATTACGTAAACTTCGTAAATGAACTAACAATTTATTGGTGTAATGTGTAAACGCACGCACCACTCATGAGAAAATTAATTGTATAAACGCACATCATATACTTCCGTCGGCGGAAGCGCCGCTTGAAAAGCCCGCTCATGTTCCAATTGATTTCGCTTGCCGCGACAGTAGTCAGTCTGTTTGTACACGTAAAATACGGTCGAGAGGCAGCGATTTTTACGTCGCCTTACGCATATTGCAATTCGCACCACGAATCGATGTGTGAGGAAAATCGTAGACTTCAGATAGATTTCGGTTTGTTTTTCGTAGTTGTTTTTCTTTTTGTAAAATGGAGGAACTATGCACTGTGCCTGTGAGCAATAATAATGTGGTAAATTGTGTGTATTGTGTACTCTTTATTGAAAAAAGGATTTTCAAGTAGACATTTTGAAGAGAAAACGGACATTATTAATTCTAGTAGACTAAAGGATCCTATCAATTTAGAGACGAAAGTAGAAAAGTCAGTAAATAAATTTACCAGGCATTTTCATGTAGGGTTTTATGAAAAGTATGAATGGTTAACCGGCTGCAAAACTTTGAAGAAAGTGTTTTGCTTGCCTTGCCTACTTTTTAATATAGCCGAAAAAGCACATCAGAACTCAGTCGGTATTAGAGACTTGAATAATTTTCACAAAAGTGTAAAACGACATGAAAATAACAAATCTCATATAAGTGCTACAATTAAAGAAAAACCATTCAGGACCTATCGCATTGAACATAGTTTGGACAAACATTTAAAAATAAGCAACAACATTCACAATGAAAGGGTAAAAAAAAATAGGGACGTCTTACAACGAATAATTTTTAGAACTAAGTTTTAGGGGTCACAATGAAGCAAGTGGATCTGCCTATCGAGGAAATTACATGGACCTTCTAAGTTTTTTAGCAAAATACGATGATATCCTAAAAAATCATTTTATTGATTCGACGACTTTCCGACGTACCTCAAACAAAATCCAAAATGAATTAATTAAATGCACTGTCGACGTTGTGATGGATCACATTAAAGGTGAAATTAAAAAAGCACCTTTCGTATCAATTGCGCTTGATGAAATCACAGATGTAGCATACTTAAGTCAATTATACATTGCTGTGCGATATGTATTGGATGGCATTCCTCAAGAGCGATTCTCAGGATTTTTGGACGTCACTAGCGAACGAACTGCGGATGCATTGTTTGTGACATTATTTCAAGTTTAGAATGTGGTTCTACGCTTGTTGCCCAGAGCTACGAGGGTGCTGCCGTAATGGCTGACCATTTAAGAGGCCTTTGAGCTAAAGTGAAGGAGAAGTTTAAAACATGCAATTTTCGTTCACTGTATAGCACATAGACTTAATTTGGTTTTATCGCGAAGCATGAATAATATTAAAGATTGCAAAGTTTTCTGTTCGACGCTTAGTGGTTTGGCTTCCTTCTTTTCAAAGTCGTCGAAAAGAACTCGCGCTTTGGACATTCACGTTCAAAAAAGGTTTCCAAAAGTTGCTCTGACGAGATGGAACTACAATGGACGTTTAGTGCAAACAGTGTTTCAATACCGTGATTCTTTGATACACTTTTTTCAAGACGTTTGGGATAATAAAGAAACATGGGATGCTGAAACTGTTACTGTCGCTAACTGGTATTTGCATTGGCTCAAACAAAACTTTGATTTCAATTTTTTGCTCAACATTTTTGCAGAGATTTTCCCTTTTACTGACATTTTATTTATAGTCAAATGAGATTGGCTTCTGCATTAAACAAATTGATGATTTTAAAAATAAAATGAATAAAAAACGAGATCAGTTTGAACACTTTTGGAATAAGACTCAAAATATTGGCTTAGAACCTGAAAGAAAAAGAATTAGAATTGATAATGTCGGCGACAGAGAGACCTCCTATCGTCGATTATACGCCGAAATTTTTGATAATACAACAAATGAACTCTCGATTTCAAAACTTTAACGAATTAAACTAAAATTAAATTATGGAATTTTTTTCGATATTCCAGCAATAAAGTCCCAGTTAAGTGTTGTTCATGAAACAACTGAAATTAGTGATAAAAAGACGCCCATCAATGTGTTAAATTTTCTTATAACTGGTTTAAATAAGTCCCTTTGTGAAGTCGTCAAGTTGTGTGAATTTAGTACTAACCATCCCAGCCGCAAATGCGTCAGTTGAGCGAAGTTTTTCAGCTTTAAAGCGCATTATAAGTTTTATACGAAATTCAACAAGTGAAGACAGACTCTCTAATTTAGCCCTAATATCCATTGAAAAACAGCTTGTTAAACAGTTATCAGAAAATCCAAAATTTTACTACGTTATAGACAAATTTGCAGCCATTGAGGATAGGCGAATAGATTTAAGTATAAGTAAATGTCAACTGTGTGAAAAATGCTGGAAAAAATAAAAAAAAACAACTTCAGTTAAATGTTTTTTTTACGTTTAAATAAACCAAGGAAGCTTTTCAATGGTAAGTTTTTTTTTTATAGATTCTAGTACTAAACTAGGTAATAAAGTAATAGTAACACTTCAAAAATCTCAATCTCGAATATCCGTAGTACTGAGGAAAAAAGCAAGATTTTGACAAAATGGTGATACGCCGCGAAAAATTTTCGCCTGTGCTTACTGGCCTGCTGTATTTTTATACAATCGCTTTCCCTTCCAAAAATGTCACCGCACGCCACTGTATTTCATAATGTCCACGGTAGGTACAATTCCTATCTTTTACTCTGCCGATGCAGGCCAGGCATATTTTCTGCAAAAAGGAATTATTATAATCACAGCCAGGGCTATTTTTGACAAATAAAATCTACTGACGAATAAAATATGGAAAATGAATATGATTGGAATAAATAGTTGGCCTAAAGAACCCTTATAAAAATAAGAGAAACAAAAGTTAGAAAGTAAGGTTATATTTTAGAATTTCTGTAAGCATCTTATACACTGTACCTACCTATAAAATACAGGAATTATTGAAGGAATAGCTAAAATAAAATATTAATATAAACTTACCTATGCTTTTAAATCAATATCTTTGAACACGTGTACACAAATGAGTATGGTAGAATGATCTACACAACAATGTCACAGCAGAAATACTCGCAAACGTAAGAGTAGAAACGAGAAGAGATCGTAGCCTGAGTATGCCATATTTCATCCGCCTTATCAAATAGTTCCGTGTGTATGGGGAATTTGTTATAAATGTTACAGGTGATATAATAAAGAAATATCGATATAATATAAACAAATATACCAATAAGCTTTAAATATAAATAAAGCTAAAAGTAAACATATTATTTACTTCTGTCTACTAGTTTATCGCCAACAGGAAATATACGTCTAAGGTAAATTATATTTAAACGTATAATATACAATAACTAGTATCTATAAACGTTTAATTTATCCGTTAAAAAATGTCAAGTATAAAAACGTTTAAGAAATCAACCAAGACGAAATTTAAACGGGAGTTATTAATGAAAAATACATATTATATTCATAAATTTATACGAATTTAATTTAAATAAATCTAAACGTATATTTAGGCACAGTGTCTACAAATCGTTCATCGCAAACTAAAAATAGTCGTATATTGTTAACTATATTTAAACGTAGAATAATTTACAATTATATACCATAGGACGTATAAAAAAAAAACGTTTAATATATCATTTAAAAAACGGTATGTATAATAATCGTAAACTGTAAACGTATACGGAATTAACCAATACCAAATATAAACGAGAATTAGATATAAAATACGTTAATTATACCAATGTGTGCTGCCTGGGTACCTTTATTTTTAAAAATATCGAAAATTGTTATTAAGAAAAGTTGATTAGAATTGAAAATTACGGTCCAATATCCAATATTATCCATCTAATATGAAAATTAATTTTCTAGCACAATAATACATAGGTATTTGTTTTTCCTTAAAATCTGTTATTTATTGAATAAAAATATGAGTACTTGATTTAGTTTAAATGACATGAAAAAGTTGACCGATTAATAAAAAAAATATTACCAATTACTAAATATGTATTATAAAAATCATTATTATTTAAAAATAAATAAAAGTATTGATACATATCTTTATAATTTGTAATAAATAATGCAAAGATTATGGTAAAAATTGGTTTCAAACTGGTGTATAGTATTCCAAAAAACCAAACTTAAATTTGTCGCATAATATTTGCATAAAGTTAAAAGCAAAAACTAGTTTTAATATTGTTGTAACAACTATGTATAATTATATAAATTCATTAGTATTGTATTTTTTTATAACGTTTTAGGTACATACTAATGAATAATTTTAATCTTTATTTATAAGGTCACTTTAATCTTTTTATGAGGATCTAGACTCTGAATAACAAAATGTAAAAGACGCCAAAAATTAGAACTTAGATTTTTCCTTCTAAATAATGAAATACATGCCATACCATATTTAAAAATCCAGTACTTGATTAGGGTTTTTAATTTCTTTATGTTTACATTATTAGCACTAATTTAGGAATGCAGATAGACGGTGCTCAAATCATGTGACTGTTTGCGGGTAGAAAGTATGGTCACATGATTAAGTTAATATTTGATATACGAGTTTTTTGTAATTTTAAACTTTTATGAATTATTTCCGTTCAATAAAATGTTTTAATACAAATTTTCTGTAGATTTACATTTACACAACTGAACCAGCTTTTATTATTTATAATTATACTAACATACCTTTTTTTAGTACTGTCCCCGTTCCATAGCTCCAAATCTTCTAACATTTACGGGGTTTCTCTTTACTGTGGCTACCTACATATATTTTGCCTTTTTGGATTATAATTTTTACGCTGCTGATCCAGACCATCCTGAAGTAGAACCCCTTGGAAAATGGCCTTACATGACGGCTGCGATATTTTTGTTCATTGCCTACACTTTAGGTAAATAAGATAGTTATTACTAATTTGTAAAAATTATGTGTAACAGCTGAACTTAAAATTTTGTCGTAATCACAATACACAAAATATTGGCATTCCTATATTCACTAAAACTGGCCATATCAGCAATTCGTTCTGCAATTTTTGATAAAGGCAACAAATAAACAGTTATTCTTATTAACGAAACCCTCTTTTTACCTCTATAAGGATATTTGTAAAATACATTTACATATTAAAACTGGTAATAGCATATAATATCCAAAAACGAATGTCCAAACACAAATTATATGTTTTTAACAATATTAGATAAACATATACATTCATTTTAGATGGAATAGATGGAAAACAAGCAAGGAGGACAGGTACAAGTGGTCCTCTAGGTGAACTCTTTGATCATGGGTTGGACTCATATACGGCAGGTTTAATTCCTGGTGCCATGTATTCCATTTTTAGCAGAGGTGCTAAATATAGTATAGTTCCTTATAGAATGTATTTTACTATGTGGAATGTTATGATGAATTTTTATATGACCCATTTCGAAAAATATAATACTGGAGTGATGTTTTTGCCTTGGGGATATGACTTCTCGATGTGGGGTACTATATTGACGTTTTTTTTAGCAGGGGTAAGTTATAATAGCGTTACTAAAATTCCATATTAAATTTTCTTTAGCATGGCTAATTCATACTGAATGACACCAACATAAAAATCTGATTTTATTTCAGATTTTTGGTGCAGAAATATGGCAATTTCGAATAGGTAGCGTAACAGCAGGCAATCTGCTTGAATTGACGCTCTATGTGTCATCACTCATATCAAATGTACCTGTAATATCTTACAATATATATAAGTCTTACAAGAACAAGACTGGAAAGATGCGATCATTTGTAGATGCTATTAGACCGCTCACAGCTGTGGGAATGTTTTTTGTGTTATCTACTATTTGGGTTCAATATTCTCCTGGAAATATTGTCGAAAGGGACCCAAGAGCATTGTTCTTCCTTTTGGGAACAGTTTTTTCAAATATATCTGTAAGTATAATATTTGCCAAGCAGTATACTATTTCATCTTCAAACTTCAAACCACACAGAGATTAAATAGTGTAAAAAGTCCAATAGCTCAGACACCATTAGAGATATAAAACCCATAATATATTTTTTATCGCAGTCTTGTTTTTATTTATTTTGTTGCAGTGCCGTTTAATTGTAGCTCAAATGAGCAACACTACCTTTGATGCATTCAATTTGTTCCTTATTCCTACATCATTTGTTGTTGCTGTGAGTTTATTTACACAATGGGCAACTTTGGAATTAATACTGTTATATGCTTTGTGTTTATTTACAACCATCGCCCATGTACATTACGGAACGTCTGTGGTAAGTACAAAAAAAAAAAAATCTCTAATAAAGTCGAAATGTGGTATCTTTAATAATGTCTTATTTAAAGGCTGTGTCTATTCATAGGGGCGCTCCGTCAAATATACTATTCATCGGGGCATGCTTATTTTCAGCACCGAAGAATATAATTCTGTTCTAAACATTTTTAAAACTTTAACATTTTGACCGAAGAAGTAAATGTGTGTCATGTTTAGAAAACACTCTGTAAACTTGTTTAGTAAAATACTTCACGTTTTGCGTTTCTGAGCACCCGAATATTTATACATATCTTTCTCCATGAACAAAATATTTATTGTTTCAATTCTATTTGCGTAAGTTTCTTTAAATTTTACTCGGAGTTTTTTGCGATAACACGAATAATATTTCCTAAAGAATAGACACGGCTTTTTTTAAAAAGGAAAATTATTCAAAACTCAAATGTGACCAAGACACAAAATAAAGAAAGAAAAAAAAATATCAATGCCTGCACAGAATACGAGGCGAAATAACCTTAGCAGTTGAAGCCGATGACACACCAAAAAAAAAAAATAAAAATTTAATATGATAGACAGTAGTAAGAACCTCTTAAAATACTGCCCTTAAAACATAATTAGCTTGTTTAGTTTACCAGGGGCGGACTAGGTTGTACATTTTAATGCTTACATTTTTAACACCCAGTATGATAAGGAGTTAAAAAAAATTAATTTCGATACCTTGAGCATTAAGCTAAAGAAAAGGTACTCTTCTTCATTGTCGATAAAATAAACCGTTTTCGAGAGAAAAAAATAATAAAAGAATTAATGTTCTATTTTTATTAAAAAGAAGCCATGATTTTCAATTTTTTTTGTCCGCAGCAAAGTGTTAAACGAAAGTCATTGAAATAGAACTGTTATCAGTATTAAAAAAAAATATGTTTTTACAAACGTTACTATGGTACCTACGAAATAAATAAATGAATAATTGCATTGACGTGTGCATTTTAAATCTTGTTGACACGTTGATCTTTTAGTACTCCGATATTAATTTATTGAATTTTGAATATCTTGGTAAATTTAATTCGATAATGGGATACACATTTAGTAAGTATGCAGATATGCATCTTATGTACGGTCTTGCATCTTGCAATGCTCATGAAGCAAGAAGGTTGTATGAAGACCGATATCCTATTCGCAATATTCCAAATGAGAAAACATTTCAGCGACTTGACCAACGTCTAAAAGAGACTGGTGGGCGATTCCTAGTTAATAAGGTAACATTATTGACTTTCTTTAATAATTTTTAGAAAGTTTTGGGAAAACAAGTACTGATGCTGATGTGACAAGAACAGTACGTACGGTACAAGTGAAGAAAAATATTTTAGATACTGCAGCTGATACTCCTTCAATAAGCACTCGAAGATTAGCCGCGCAGCTTCATGTGTCAAAAACGACAATTGCTGAAGTACTTAAAAAACAGTTGTCATCTGCAAAAAGTGCATCAACTACTTCCTGGAGATTTTCCTCGAAGAATCCAGTTCGCAAACTGGCTGATAGATCAGCAACGAACAAACGGAAACTTCATTAGCACTATTCTTTTTACCGATGAAGCAGGGTTTACCAAAAATGGTATTGTAAATTTACATAACTCGCATGTATGGGCTGATGAAAACCATCATGCCACTGTTGTTCATCATTATCAACATCAGTTCCAATCAATTAACGTTTGGGCAGGAACAATCGGCAATTTTTTGATTCGACCATGCGTATTGCCGCCACGATTGAATGGTGAACTTTATGTACAGTTCCTTCAGAACGCTTTTTTGGATTCAACACAGCATTTGCCACTTGAAACCCGCCGAAGCATGTATATTAAATTATATTACGTAATTTGAAAGCCGTATCTCCGTAGGGAGGGCCGCTAGAAAACATTATGGGAACTTGTCATCTTATTTTTTAATGTTCTATCTGAATCCGAAAGATCTCCCATATTTTCCCGAGTAATAGAGATCATCAATAATGAAAAAGGTCTATTGCAATAATTCAAATAGTACATTTAAGACAGTAATCGGGAAAAAAGTAAATGAAAGAAAATTAAATAAAAAAAGAAAATTACGAATAATTTTTTTTTTATTTAAACAATTTACATTTTTATACATATTAAATATTTTCTTCGACTTCATTTATTTGAATAATAGGTGGAGTATTGAAACAACTATTTTCGCTGCACTGTGAACATGCTATATATATATATACTACAGTATAAACCACATTTCCTACATCCTTTTTTACAAATACAAAATAACATTTGCAATAAATTATGCGGAGCTGGTAATTGATTAATTGTTACTGGGATGAACATTTTATTGGATGAATTTAAAAGACACAAAGATAGAAAATAGAGTATAAAGCATTATTTGGATTTTGGCAAAAAATATATTTGAAGTGTAAATCTGCAACTCAAGGTAATAGCAACGAGGAAGAATATGAAATAAAAAGAGATGCCGGTGAAATATTATTGACCAGAGTGACTGATGATGCTTCTAATATTTCAAACATATTAGTAACTCCAGAAAAGCAACATCCTGTAAATTCTCCCTCCATAACTTACGAAACATCTGCCAATATAATGGCTGACATTGTAGTTCATTCAACACCATAAAAAGAAGTTCTAGAGAAGAAAATACAAACTCCTCTTAGTATTAACATCAGCTAGCAAAACTTCAGAGAAGCCAATAATACCATCGCCATTTTGATAATAAAGTCCCACAGATTAAATATCCACTCAGGATTATTTAAATAAATCAGGATTTACTTTAGAATTAGTTTTATTAAATTAGCAACACAGTGGGCTTTACACAGAACAATGAATAATAAAAATGTCAACTGTCATATATCATTGTACAGTACCAACTTAAAATATTAAATATTAGTTAGGCATTTTATAGAGGTTCTAACAGAGCCTTGTTTTGGACTGAGGAAGAAAAACAAAGATGCTAAAAAGAGGAAAAAGGAAAAACCTTCAGTTATAACTTCACAACCATGGCAGAAATACAACATAAATAATATGCTAGAAAAGGAACGAACGGAAAGAAAAAAGCTCAACAGAAAAATTCAAAGTAAAAATAAATAACAAGAAAATAAAAATCTGAAGAAACTAGAATTAGACGAGTCCAGTGAAGATGATGAAGTTATGAAATATGCAGAATCAGATGATTCAACCTGGAATATTGAAGACGATAAAGAAGGAGACCAAGAGATAGAAAAAGTGAAGCCTCTAAAGCACATTAACGAACTAAAAAATGGTGATTTTGTATTGGATAGTTTTGTAGGAGGCAAACGAAATGCTCAGAATTTTACATATGTATATATTGTACAGGAGATCGTTGGGGACGACATTAGTATTATGGCTTTAAACTGTATTGATAAAAGCAAGAACACATTGCAAATGAAAAGGACGTTTTAACAGTTTCTTTTGGTCAGGTTTTTGGAATACTAGAAAGCCCTGAGGTGGTTTCTATTGGTGAACTTTTAAGATATGTATTTAAATGTTTTGTAATTAGTGTTCATGAAAATTCAAACTTTTATTACATTTTTATTTATATTTATACTGTCTAACATCTAAAATAATAATGTTTGTTAAAAAATGTTTACTAATAAATTTTATATTTATTAGTACTTTTTCCTCTTTGTGTAATTATTGACATCCATTGGTACCATGCATTTCCTACAATGTCAGCTCTTGTAACATTTCTTCGTTGTAGAGTCAAAACCTCTTAACTCATATTTTGGCGTAACTGAATGTAATTTTTTTTTTTAGAAATTAATTTTAAAAATGTAAATCTTTAACCATTTGGCATCTTTTTGACTTGCCTTTTTCTATTACATAAAAAAAGCTACTTTTACAAAATTAACAATTACAGAAAAAAGTTTTTAATGTATCCTGAAAACTGGCAATTTTATGATACGAGGTTTTGACTCTACGACGACGATTTGACATTCCAGGCAGTGGTTCTTATATGTCATATACAGGTACATAGGTGTATTACAAAAATTTACATTTTAAGTGGAAATAGGGGGGGGGGCAAAGTTTATATGGGAGCATAGATTTTTTAAAGATTGGAACTTTAAAATTGGAATTGTAGCTACACATCATACATTTTAAGGGTGTGGAGGGGACGAGGGGTGAAAGTTTGTTTGGGAGTATCGATTTTTTTAATGGTAGGAACTTTAAAACTTGAATAATAGCTACTTATCATAAATAATGACGTATTTCAAGGTTTTTGGATTTTCACATTTAAGGGGGGGGGGGGGGTTTAACGGGGATTGGAAGTTTGTATGGGAGTATCGTTTTTTTAAAGGTAGGAACTTGAAAATTAAAATTTTAGCTACTCATCATAAATAAGTAAATGGCTAAAAAAACTTTGATTTAAAAGTGACCGAGGTACGTCAGGAACTAGAAGATCGTGAGCTGGAGATGGCAGGAAAGAAAGCAGAGCTGGTAGAGCGACTTAAAGAAGCAATAGAAAGTGAGGATTTGGATCCGGAAACGTATCTATTTTTGGATCATGCTATAATTTTAATTTTTTCAATTTCTTCTAATATCTTTGATAGACATGACACTAGACTGATCGGGCAATAATTCTCCACAAGCTTGGGTCGCCTTTTATGGAAACTAAAATGTTTTTGATATGACTTCCATGAAAACTGAAATTAATACTTAAAGTTTCTTCTGATATTTCTTGCTTTAAAACTAAGGTTTCTTCTGACATGTCTTCCTTAGACAATAAAGTTTCTTTCTTGGAAAATAAAGTCTGTTCCGGTAAAATGTCCTCTATGGAAAATAAATGTTCGTCTAATATTTTTTCCTCAGAAGAAAAGGTCTCTTCTATGGAAAATAAGATATATTTAGTTGAGGAGAATATAATGTCTTCCGTTGGGGAGAAAATAAAAGAGATTGAAAAGAAGATGGAAAAAATGGAACACATAGAACAGGCCAAGAACGGCGAAATCAAAGTGCCATAAGGTGGAGTCAAAGCTGAAACTGGAAGTAATTGTAAATTCTGCCCGTGATAAAGCTCCAACTGTCGACGGGAAGATGTCATGGGCCAATTACCTGAAACAGCTGCGAGAGCGAGCTAATGGTCTGAAAGAGAAACCGCAGTAAATTTGACCATCACCCTTGACGAGGCGCTTTAAATGTTCTTCAGACTACACCTGTGGAAGAAACGGATGACTTTGAACAACTCAAAAGAAGATGGATGGAATGTTTGTCAGTCCCAACTTTTGTTGATGGATTTCGTGACCATGAAATGCAGAAAACACTCCGTTTAGCCCGTCACAAAGCATTGGTCTATGTCTTAGAGTATGAGGTTACGCTGTAACCTACCGAATGCACTTAGCAACTTCCAGAGGGAAATTGCTTAAAATAATAACCAATAAAATTTTGTCTACTTGGTTACACAAGTTTCGGTTGTTCCGGTGTCAACTATGTTCTTATTTCCCCACAAACCCAGTAAATGAGGAAAGAAATAAAAGACAAACCTCAAACTTACGTTTCTTTATATTGAATCTACACAATTATGCGAAGATTAAATTTACAAATTAATATTAAAGAAACTAAAAAACCTAATATGTTTGTCATTAAACAAATTCAAATTAATATTCAAGAACTATCTTGCTAAAAATACAATATTTAAATTGGTCAAGAACTTCATCAAAAAAAATTATCCTACCGCTTATGATGAATTCATAACTAAATAAACTAAGAGTATCTAGAGAAAGTAAGAAATTAATTCGCATTAATATGCATAAACCCAAAAAGAATAATAAATTCATCCGTAGATAGTACGATCAGTCGTTAGCATGGTACCAAGCGAAGATCAATTTGCGCAAGTCGTTAAGTAAAATATTGTAAACTATTAATTTCTACCTTTTTACATTCCACAATATATCATAGATAGGCATTAAAGAAGCTGAAGAGCCTAATATATATTATCATTTCAAATATCTTTAATAGAAATGGCAATAGACTGATCGGACAATAATTCTCCACAAGCTTGGGGGTCGCCTTTTTTGAAAAATTGTTTAACAATTGTAAGTTTCAGTTTATCTGGGAAAATACCATGTAGAAAGGGGTTGTTAATTAACTTCTTAAATAGTCTTCAAAGTTTTATAAGTGGTGGCCGGTATTAGAAACTTTGCAATCTAAGTCAGCATATGGTAATTTTTATTAAATATTTGGCGCTGCATTACGAATATACTCATTAAAGTTAATGCTTATTGTATGGTATTTTTAGATCATTATTGGCCCTATTTGTTCCTTTAATTTTATTAATGGTATGGTATTAGCCAAATAAGCAGTTGTTTTCCGAAGAGAAATGGTATTATTTGTGACACATGGCTTTGATATTTTCTTGTTCTTTATTTTGTCTTATTTATAGAAAATTAATTATTTAAAACTCTCAAATCTTGTAGTTTCTATAATATTTATTTCCGATTATTGAATTGTTTTTTATTTTAGGTAAGAGAAATGTGTCAACATTTTAAAGTTAATTGTTTCACTATCAAGAAACCTTCTGATTGACTATTGATTGACAACGCATGATAAGTGTTGTCCCTCGGATGTGCAAACAAATAGGTGTTTTCCCACCCAAATGACATTTTATTATGTTTAAATATCGTTTATTGACATTGAGTGAGTGCCTAGTCCCTGTGGCTGTATTCAAGAATTTATTTGTGTGCATTGAAGAGAAAAATATTGTGTGACAAAGTATAAGAGTTACTTTATCAAAATTTGTGTTCCATATATATAGAGAGAGGCCAGTTTATCAGCTAATTTTTTAATTATTGAAGCAATATTATTGGGTGTTGCCTAGAATTTTAATAACAAAGTTGCTTAAGAACTTTTAGAAACAGTTGATGCAATTTTCGATTTAACTTTTTCAAATAAAGATGTAATTCACAAAAAAAAATTAAATGAGACAATAAAACGAAGGGGTTTTTTTAATTAATAGATAAGCTAAGAGGAAGTACTTTCACATTTTGGAAGGTAATTATTTGGAGTTTTGCTTTATATATTCCTGAAAATTCACATTTAGATCTAAAAATTAATTCACATTAAATCAACTATATTTACACCTTTCACCTGTGTATTAACCTCAATGAATCACAAACAATCAACAAGTGTTAAAATTTCGGTTACATCTGATAAAAATAATAGTATTTTATAAAGATGTATTCTAAATCTACAAAGAAAATATTTTATAATCATTAAAAAAAAGTTTTTAGGTTTAAGAAAAAAGTATAGAGTTAAAGTAATAAATGATTATTAAACGAGTTAAAATTGGCATCTTATTTTTATATGTTACAAATGTATTAATTCCATCAAGTAATAGTAACTTATTCCACTCCACCATTTTGATAACTGATAACTAGAAATATTTATTTATATATTGGATTCATTTATAATTTCAAAATGATCCTCTGTATTTTTCCATAAGTATTGTACCAAAGTAATGAGAACAAATAGGAAAATATTGTTTTCTATCTTGAATAAAAAAAAAACAACTATAAAAATTGATATTTTAGAAATTCCGTTAATATAAATTATTATTTTTTTGATTTCTGTTGCATGTTTCCTCTCATTATATAATTTTGTATTTGCATTATATATTTTAATGAGTTTCGTATCAGTTTTCTACTGGTGACAAATTCTAGCTCTCTAATTTTGCCTGAAATAAATTTTAGGTATAGCTAATATGGTTTTATATCTTTTTTTATGGTTTAAATAAATTAAATTTAAAGTTTTTCCCTTTTTTGAGATATTAAGTTTAAATATTTTTAACAGAAACTGCCAGTTGCCAGTTACATTATGTAAATATAAAATTTTATTATAAAATTTAAATATGTATTACTACATAAACTGGCCTAATCCATGCTGATTGTAAGATTATTTAAAGATAATTTAAAAATGATGTATTATTTTAATTGAATGCAGAATGGTATCCAACTGCCCTGTTGTCATTTTAAATAGTAAGACAATGACTCAAAATTGTCTTAGTATATTATTTTAATAAAGTAATAATCCATTTGATGAGGTTTTGTAATTCTGAAATTAAGTAGTACAGTTTTTAAAAATCTTCCAATAATTTTATAATCATTTAAAACTCAAAATTTAATCAAAAAATGGGGAAAAACTGGTATTATATTGGTTTCAAACTATTATAATTTACAAAACTGTATTTAAAACAATAAAATATATACCTAACAATGTGTTTAATTCAATAAATTTATAAATAACATGTTACATAAGAATTATAATTTAATAAAACAGTTTCCTATGGCTTAAATGTTTTCAAAAATTCTTTTTTAATAGCATCTCTTTCTTCTAAAGGTGGCATTACTGGTCTTATGCCTTTTTTCCTTCTTTCTTTTTGAACATAATGCTGCAAAAAATAATCTATTCAAATGGATTATTTTAATTTTAATACTTATTTTTATAGTCAGACCATTTCAATACTATTTTAGAATTATAAATTTACCATTCTGAAGGGTTTTATCTTATTTTCCTTTCATACAAATGGATTTGCATATAGTTTGCATAGAGATGATTTGTAAATTGAAGATTTAATATGAAAATAAGTAAGCAGTGTGGTGAGAAATATTAGAGACGTATGAGAATAATTAGAGAAAAAAAGATTACTTAGAACATGCATTTGAATGTTTCTCATATTTCAGGGATAAAAATATGATTAAATGAATTTTTTTTACAATTATATTAAAGGTAGTAAGCCTGTTAAAAGAAAATTTCTATAAGACAGTTGTTAGGACATCTTTGATGCAAGGGTCGGTATGTTGGTCACTATGAAAAAGAGCAGGAAAAAATATATGTGGACAAGCCAGGTGCAAGAACTCCTTTAGGAAAAATGGGAAATTAAACCAGACATGGTATATTGGATATACAATATTGTGGTAAGGCCGATAATAACATATGCAGCTTTGGTGTAGTGGCAAAAGACATGTGGACAAGCCAGGTGCAAGAGCTCCTTTAGGATAAATGGGAAATTAAACCAGACATGGTATATTGGATATACAATATGGTGGTAAGACCGATAATAACATATGCAGCTTTGGTGTAGTGGCAAAAGACATAACAAAACTGAGCAATACAAAAGCTTGCCTGTATTGGAATAACATGGTCAATGGAAACAACCCATGCAACTGCAATGGAAGCACTAGGTACTTTACTTTGTGATATAGGGGGAGGCAAGATTAGGTGCTTACAGAAATCTTAACATTAGACCAGGGGACTATTTCATAAAACTACTTTGCACTTTGCATATTTTACTAAATTTATGTTCTATACAAGAGGCATTTGATGGATTAAAAAGTAAAATTTGGAGAGAAATTTTAAAATTGAAAATGAAAAATTAATGATCTCAAAGTTAACAATATTATTTCATGAATCAAAAGTATTTTGTTCTCGTAAATTTGAAAAGAGCAAAGTAAAAAGTTGCAAAGTAGTTTTATGAAATAGGCCCCTGGTATCACAAGGTTAGTGACAGAAGACACACTAGACATGAGAACAAATCATCACATAACTAAGCATTACTACTTCAATACTCCATTCGAGGTTCTAATACCAAATAGAATGGAGAAAATCATAAGGGAACCAAGGAACAAACCTTGTATACCGATGGGTCTGAGACTGCCGAAGGAACTGCTACTGGAGTATTCTCCATAAACCTCAGCTATGCAATAGCAAAACATACCTCCATATTCCAAGTTGAGGTTTATGCAATCTTGCAATGTGCAAGAACAAACAAATGGAAAGCTACTGAAAACAAGTACATCCAAATAATGTCAGACAGCCAGGCGTTCCTTAAGGCAATATCAAGTCAGAAAGTAATGTCAATACTAGTATGTGATTCATTGAAGAGTAAAACTAGTTTGGGTGCCAGGTCATCAAGGAATCCAGGGGTATGAAAAGGCTGACTAACTTGCAAAAAGTTCAGTTTGAGGTTTCATAAAAGACTGAATTCAGAAAATGTAACAATTATTGGGAGAATGTGCCAAAACAAGCTCATTGGGAAACTTCATAGGAAGACCATGTTAAAAAACCAGGAGAATGCTCTATGAATAGGAACCAGTTGAAAACAATGACTCATGACTGGGCATGTCCCAGTAAAGAGACACCTGAACAAAATAGGGGTGTAAAATGGAGACATACTATGTTGAGTGTCACAAGGAACCAGAAACAGCCAAACATATACTAAACGACTGCGAAACATTGGGTTCCAAAAGACAGACACTTATTGAACAATCATGTTGATCCAAAAACTTACAGAACAGGCATTGAAATGAAACTGAATGGGGCCACTTGAAGGATAAATATAGGCTACCGCCACAGACTAAGAATTATTTATTACATAATATTTAAATTAATTTACCCAAAAAGATTTGCACAATCTATAATTCTCCATTTCCATTTGACATGCTTCTTTATCAAAATTATTTTTATGGAAACAACTAAGTGTTAACTCTGTTTCTTTTAAACAAGGATTTCTTTCCGCAGCTTCTATGTCATAGGGTTTATTTTTCATAATATTAAATTATTAATTTATTATATAAAGTTAAATGACAATGACATAACCTATAATTTAAAATTTTGCAAATGTAAATAATAGCAACTGACTGAAAAGGCATAGGCAACTCTAGCTGTAAATAGTGGCTAGTAAAGGCCAGTTGAACAAGAAAACAGACGAGCATGGGCCTATAAGAAATAAGAAGAAAACGAAGAGATTCTTATTCTTAACCTTCTATTTTTGTTTATTTTCAAAAAATTGAAAATGCATCATTTTAGTTTTTAATTTATTATGAAATTTGAATTCTTCTGAATTAAAATGTCTACAGATGCGTGGGAGGAAATTCAAGCTATCAAAAGTAAACGAAATAGTTTGCGGGAACGTCTAGAAAAAAGAAAAAAAGAACGTCAAGAATTATTGGGTTCCAGTCTAGGTATGAAAGTAGTTTATTCCTTACAATACATCTAAGATTTATAACGTTCAAATTTATAGGCTCTACGTCACATGGAATAGTTGATAGTTCGTCAAAAGGTTTTACTTCTCACACAAATACCAGAGCAAATACGACAGTCAAAGAAGAACAAAGAGTAGATGAAAAACTAGATTTAGTTAAATTAGATCCAGAATTAGAACGAGAACTGTTGAGGCAACTTAGTGAAGTAACTCTTCAACTTCCCGTTTCTTCTTTAGAATTAACAACTTCAAAAACTACTGATCAAGATAGTTTGCATAGAAAAATATGCAACTTGTTGGAAAAATTTGCTATTCAAAAATTAATTTCCGTAAATGCTACCTCAAAAGATGGTACAAGTTTGTTGGAAGTGGTTCATGTGGAAGTTTCCAAAGTAAATGCCATGATTGTGGATAGTTCTGAAGGAAAAAAAGATATAGGTAGAGATGATTTAAAGAGAAAAAGAGAAGATTCTCCTGAAAATAGTTCTGAATTGGAAGAAGAAAGAAAGAAAAAGGAAAAGAAAGAACCAAAATCGGATATTTTGGTAAAACAACATATAATTGTTCTAAAACATTGGCTTACACTTTATTTTCGAAAAATACAATTGAATCGGTAATTTCAAAAACCACATAAGTCAACATTTGGCAAGATTAGGTTTATGTTATGAAAAATCTTGTTAGGAGTACCTACACATTATGCACAAAAATCACAAAAGAATCACAAGATGCATTAACCCATAGATAAATAAACCTTTTTAAATTTTTTCATTCATTATAAATAGGTACCATTTAAAAAAATAGATAATTGTTTATTGTCCAACAGGAAAGAGCCCAATTACAGTACCTTATTCTCATCTAACCTTTGTTTTAATCTATATTTTAAATGAATGCATAAATTAAAATTCTTAATCCATTTGCATAATAATAAATTGGCATAATAATAACAACACTCTTACATTTATTATATTGTTGCTGACACACATTTTGTTAAATATTTCTTTTGAATGATGCTAAAGAATCCAAGTAAATGTCATTCAGTGTACAAAATTCATTATAATTTAAGCAAATTGTATAAATTGGTGATTTGATAAAAACATTAGTTCTTGCAGTCAGGAGATAAAAGCATTGATGTAACCTTCTTTCAATGCATAGAATATGAAAATTTAGGTAGTTTAACAATTCTGGGCAGTTTATTTTACCATTGACTAATTTGTAAGTAAATATACAGGAATTATATTTTCTACGCTTAGAAAGGGACAACAATGCAAATCTATTCAGTAACAGCCTATGATTAAATCCCTTCCATGGATATCTGCCATGCAACTTAAATGATTAATATTTTAGAAATGACCTTTGAACATTTTCTATGTGGGAATTATATAAAATATACAATGGACTCCAGATTAAGGCAGCATATTCCATGCAAGATCTAATATAGGCAAAATAGAGGACTTTTAAGCAATGAAGAGAATTAAAGTCTTTGCAAGTTCAACAAATAAATTCGAACATTTTCTTTGCATTTAGTACCATTTTGTTCATATGTTCTGAAAAGCTAAGTTTACTTTCAAAAATAATACCAAGATCTGTTGTTTGATCAATTGACACTAGTATAATTAATAGAATATTGGAACATTGTATTGTTGGTTTTTAAAGAAAAGCAAACTAATTTGCATTTTTCAATATTAAGTGGTAATTGGTTCTCAGTACACCATTGATGCAAAATATCTAGATAATTCTGCAATATCAAGCAATCGGCTAGTGAATTGATGGTTCTAAAAATCTTCAGGTCATCTGCAAATAATAAGTAGCAACTTAAAAAGTTTTCTCCCATGTTGTTTACAAATAGAGAAAACAATAGAGGTGCTAGATTGTTGCCCTGTGGAGCACCATTGGTTGCCATAAAATGGTAAGATTTGTGGCCTATAAATTCAACATAGAGCGTGCGATTTCTGAGATTAAACTGAAATATAGCGATAAAGTCATGATCGAAACCGAAACTTTCCATTTTTTTTTAGAAGAGTGCTATGTTTCCATCTTGTCAAAGGCCTTCGAGAAGTCAGTATAGATGGTGTCAGTTTGTTTTTGCGAGTCAATAGCATTTGACTTTTTGTGTAAAGCACATTAGATTTGTGACTGTTGATCTTTGACAAATAAAATCATGTTGACTCTCTGAAATTAAATTTTTTACTCTTGGCGAAATTCTATTGTACATTGCCATCTCAAACTCCTTTGAAAAGTTAGATAATAGGTCGGTAGTTAGTAATGCCATTGATCTTACCAGTTTTAAATATAGAAATGATTTTTGACAACTTCCAGACCTCAGGGAAGTCGTTTGTTTGTCGGGCCATGTTAAATATTTTGCAAAGAGGGATTGCAAGTATATTAGCTCAGTCTTTTTTAAAGAATGTCTTTTGTGGCAAGCTTAATGTTACCATCTCCTTACATTTTAAAATAACTTTCATTAAAAGTTTTATGTAAAATTTTGCTTTTATTTCTTTTCAAAACAAATAAAAATTCCGTTCAAAAAGCACATAAGTCAATAAAACAAATATTTTTTTAACTTACCATTTTTAGATCTTCCATTTTATTCATATATCTAGTTACTTAAATAACTTATTAAAAAAATATCTTTTTAAATGAAATGTAGTTTTTGTATAAAAAAGTTTTTTCTGTACTAAAAATGTAATTCTTTTGACTTATGTTGATTTTTAAATAACCGATTCAATTACTAGACATATTTTGTTTTTACCTAAACAAATTACATTACAATTTTACAATAATTTTAGAGTCTATTGAATATGCCATCGACGAAAGAAAAAGAAAGTAAAAAACTAGGAGAAGAAATTTTAGACTTATTAAGCAAACCAACTGCTAAGGAAAGATCTTTAACAGAACGTTTTAAGTCTCAAGGGGGCAAGCAGCTCATGGAATTCTGTCCTCATGGAACACGAATGGATTGTGAAAGAAATGGAATATCAGATTGTAAAAAGTTGCATTTCAAAAAAATTCTTCAGAAACATACAGATGAATCACTTGGTGATTGTTCTTTTTTGAATACTTGCTTTCATATGGATACTTGCAAATATGTTCATTATGAAGTTGATAGAGCTGGTAAGTCAGATGATGCACCCAATGTTCCTAGTGGACCAGTTGTAAGGGTGGAAAGTAGTACAACTTTATTTCCTCCACAATGGGTTCAATGTGATTTAAGATTTTTAGATATGACTGTCTTAGGTAAGAATTACTGACATATTTGCATATTTACACTGGAACATATATTATGAATTAATTTTTCAGGAAAATTTGCTGTTATTATGGCTGATCCTCCTTGGGATATTCATATGGAACTTCCCTATGGTACCATGTCAGATGATGAAATGAGACAATTAGGTATCCCTCAGTTGCAAGATGATGGTCTGATTTTTCTTTGGGTTACAGGCAGGGCAATGGAACTTGGAAGAGAATGTCTGCAACTTTGGGGATATGAAAGGGTATTCCAACAAATTATTCACCATAAATGTTAGGGTCTATGTATTTAACAATTTTCAAAGCATTCATTATTTCAGTTTTTTTCTTGTAAGTTGTTAATATTGGCTGCAATGGAGATTTTTTTGAAAAATAATTTAGAGTCGGTAACAATATTTATTATTTGTGAAGTAGATCCATGTCAAAATCCTTCTGGTATCCTTGTTCTATTATGTTTAAGTTTTAGTAGTTATGAAATGAATACTATAACCCGACGAACCAGGTCCTAACTTAGTTTTACAAGTATTCAAAACCTAGGCCTAAAAATACGTCTAGTAGATACCCATGAAGTGATTTTTGTAGGACCCCAAAATTTTGCTTAGAGTTCAATGAAGCTGTAACGGAGGAACAAAAAAGTAAACACAAAATAGATTAGGAATAGTTTTATTTAAACTTATTTCTTATAGCGGGAAGTTTACAATGTTTGTTTTGTTTAGCATAACACATGCATGGCCTTTTCCATGTCTCATTTCTATCCGAAGGAATATTAAGCTCCCATGAACCGGCGAAAGTATGATGAGAGTACTACAGCATATTTGTTATCCCCTTATAGTTCGCAATCATACACACTGCTAATAGAATACCTGCATACGTATTGTCTGATATAGTGAAGTACAGCGGTATCACGAAGAGTATGGCGAGATATGAATATGGATATAAATATGTAAATGAGAAGTTTAAAACTCATCTTGCATCACACCTTTCCACTAATATCCCAATACCGTATTTTACGTTTGTGCTCAGCACTGCATATATAGCAATATTTTGGACGACAACAGAACACCTGATATAAAGGGGGATGCCCGTTAGGCCCACTTTTGGGGTATCTTTTCTTAAGATCCATCCTGCCTCTATCAGGCTTTTCTATCCATAGACGTGGGGAAAAGTACCATTTTGAGGCCCTACTATTGAAGTTCCGCACGTACTATGGGTAGCAGCTCAATGCTCTTTTTCGACGCTTTGCTTTATTGCTCTAATTATTGACAAATCCATGCTATAAATGACAGCTCCGAAACCACAAGTGGTAGTCACACCACAATATCACCTCCTTTTTCTGAAAGGATAACAATTATACCAGAGTTCTATAACCTACCTGTTAAAGTGATGCCCAGCTGAGCCTAATATGTCCGTTTACCTAAACATAATACCTAAAATTATATTGTTACCCGCCTCTGTACATATTCACTCTTAAAAAGAACCCAAAAAAACTAAAATCTCAACGTTTAGAAATGAGACATGATTTTACTCATTTTTGCATCATACAGAAAGAAAGAAAATATTATTACTGTAACTTACTTAACATTAGGACTCGACAAATAAATATAATACAATTCAAACATCTGTTTACCATCTAAATCAATGCAAAAGACGACAATTTATGTCCCCCAAAAGCAGGTCATTGGTGTCCTAAACCATAAAATAATAAAGGGCTTTGACATTTGATTCTTATGACCATAAACCGGAAGGGCTTAATTTATTAGTTGTTGTGGCTGAATTTACAATAATTGATTTTTATGACCGTAATTCTAATTATTAATTATTGCCCTATGAAATAAAATGAAATTCCCTGACAATGAAATGAAAAAAAAAAACTACCCACATAACTTAACAATTATAATTTACTAAATTTTACCCAAATAAGAATGGTTCCCCTTTAAACACATAATTAATCACAAAAGATACCTGTAATGAAACCATGCTGCAATAACTCTTCTCCCCCGGCGGTATACATGAATATGACTACTATACAAAGAACACTAGGTAGGAATGTGCGACGAAAACGCTGATCTCGAAATACGTTCTAGAACGGCGTTTCCGCGATTAAAACCGATAATCGCAGCGTCTAAAAAAAGATATGATTATCGCTAAAATCTACACACGGGAAACCTCACAACAAAGAAAAAGATATCGTCGACAAAAGTAGAACGACAATCACAATACTTTTAGTCATTTTCCACAAGTTTTATATGATTAGATCAGAGGTACTAAATAACTCGCTATTTCTTTATCCGGCGTCGTCACCATAGGCAACGGTTCACCAAGACAAGTCACGCAAAGAATCCAGAAACTCGGAGATGCAATCCTACAAAACCCTTAGAAGAGAGAAAAATTAAGCTCTTTTAAAACGTCTTTGGTCACCTGATATAACTACCTCTCGATATACAAACATATAACGAAAGAAGTCACCTTAAAGGTAACGGTGTATAGCGCAAAAGAAGTCGTTTCATAGAGAAAATAATTTATCTGCTCCCTCGATATCTTTTACTGCGTTTTCCAAATATAACAAAAAAGTTGTCACCTTATAGTTAACGAGATAAACCATTCAATATACTGGAAGAGTATATAGAAAGGAGTCACCTTAAAGATAATCGAATCTTACACTTTTTTGTCAACTGGACTTGAGAAAGGCAGGAAGAATTCTAACCCAGTTCTTACTTTACTTTTACTTTAATTTTCCCAGTTAGTCAATGCATTAGACAGAGAAAGATTGAGTAACGCCTACCCAACTTTCACGTAACATAATACCCAGAAAAACAGCCCGAACAATATCAGGCTTGCGGACCGCCCCCTGAGTTCGAGTTTGCCTTTCAACAATTTACACCTGATGAACAAAAGACGTGCAAATAGAAAGTGATTGATATTTCCTCAAAAATCGCAAAATATTTAAAGAAAGAATAAAAAAATATCAGACCCAGGGCCGTCGGTTTTTATGAAAATTCAGACCTGTAGTTTGTTCTCAAAAATGGTTTCTTTAGTATTTTTTTTAGCATATTTGTTTAGGAAAATATAAATGCTGGCCACAAAGATGTATTGGGTGTAACACGCCTCAAAAAAAAAATAATTTGAGAAACGAAAAGAAAATTCTGTTAATGTATCAGACATTCGTTTTTTTTTATTCAGAAATACCAACATTAGTATTGGTGATAGTATGAGCAGTAGCACTTTTGCAGCAGAATTCAGAAGCGGTAACTGTAGAGCCTTTAATTAGAAAATACATCTCCTAAAACGGATGATGACGAATTTCTGCTTGCCATTGCATACTGTCACAAGGAAAAGAAAAAGAAGAAACGCTGATAATTTTATTATTTAATAATTATATTTTGTTTATATTATTGAATATAATTTAATTCTTTAATTGAGACGTCCCAATTTTAATTAAATAACTATATAAGTCAATTATTCTATATTTTAAAGACAACATTACTTACACACCTAAATTTACTAGCCTGAGAAGGATCCTCAATGGCTCTTATTGTCCCAAAACCCTTCTGTGGTGTCACAAAAACATCTCTTAGAACTAAAGACCGGACATTTTAATCGCGTTCAAATAATTGGTTTTAATCACATAGGCGTCTCATTCTGGGTTCGCTATTTAAGACGGCAGACAGTGCGGCAGATTCTAATACTATCAGGACAAACCTCTTTTTTTTATTAAAACAAGATAAAAAAAGTGTACTGATATATACATAGACATTAAAACTAATACAAAAAAGTGAGATTTTTTTTTATCGTGTACCTATATTCTTTGTCTTTTGAATCATTTTCATTAAACAAATTTAATGTTTTCTTCTCACCAACGCCGAGGATATGTAGGATATTTTACAAAAGTTTTTAGTAACCTCAGATCCTTTAATTTGTGGCCTGAGAAATTTTCCTTAAAAAAAAATAACTTTTCATAAGCGAGTTTAAGGTGTAGTAATGTAAACGATATTCTGTATGATATTTTTTTTATTATTATCTCTTATATAATTACAAAATATCTATTCCTCAATATTTTGGCGTGGTACACTACTCTCCTGCCTAAAATGAGGATCGAGGACCCCAGCTGCCTCCCCCGAATTTGTTATTTCCTCCAGAAAATTGGAAATTTCTAGCCTTAGCTGGTCCCGATTCATTGTTGGAGAAATTGCATCGGGGCCAAATATTAGGACTCTACGAGCGTTTGGACTAAGACGCTGTAGAGAGGGCCTAAAATGAATGTCAAATAGGCCCATCATATGTTGTCTTATACTTTCTCGATCCATTGTCGGTTAGTTGCCGGTGATATTTTTATTCAAATAAAGTCAATCCTTATATTATATTTATGAATATTTTGGCTTTTATCGATACCGTACATACCGATTTTTTGTAACAAAACATTTATGTTTTTATTTCCTGTGGATATTATGGTACTTATACACGATGAGACAATAAAATAAATGTCTGTTAAATTTCTGTAATGTATGTATTAATTCAATTGCTCACTCTATATAGGTATCTGTTGGTTGAAAAAATGTAAAAAGATAACAAAGAGTCGATAAACAGGAGATTTGAGAAGAAAGTGTCTTGTAAAAATATCACTAGATTTTTCCAATGAGTATATTTGTTTAGTTCAAAGGGAAAAGTGATAGAAACTGGAAACGTAAATATGGAAAATTTATTATCGGACTTTGATTGTTTTCGTCGTTTTAATGACAACAAATTATACTGCCGCAATTGTGATCAGGTGTTAGTTTTTAATGGAAAGTCAAGTATGACACAACATGTGAAAACACAAAAACACATGCAATCTTTAGAGGGATGTCCAGACAAAATCTTTTATGAAGATTTATGCAACGCATTTGTTTCTGCAAATATTCCATTAACAAAATTAAATAATACAATTTTCAAAAATTTTCTTTGTAAAAATACTAAACGTAAAATACCGGATGAATCCACAATTAGAAAACATTATATTCAAAATCAGTACGATAAAGCAATGACGGCAATAAAAACGAAAATTTCCAGCAAATATATTTGGGTTAGTGCAGATGAAACGACTGACATAAAGGGTAGATGTGTTGTTAATGTTGTTGTAGGATTATTAAGTGCTGAAAATACTTCACAACAGTATTTAGTTTCTAGTGTGTTTCGTGAAACTGTGAACGCTGAAATGATTTATGAAATAGTGAAACGTGGATTGAACAATGTAATTGATAATGACGTTTCAAAAGTTTTATTGTTTATTTCAGACGCGGCAAGTGTAATGTTGAAAACAGGGAAACTATTACAAGAACATTTTCCAAACATGCTGCATGTAACTTGCCTTGCTCACGCGTTACACCGAGTTTGTGAGTTTATCCGTGACAGCTTTCCAGACATTAATTCGTTGATTAGCTGTTTTAAAAAAATTTTGTTAAAAGCACCGTCCCGAGTTTCTTTATATAAAGAAATATGTCCGAATATCCCCCTACCTCCACAACCAGTTATTACACGATGGGGAACTTGGTTACAGGCTGTGTTCTTTTTTTCGGAGCATTTCGACAGACTAAAAGTATTTATTTCCAACTTATCAGAGGACGCTCTCTCTATCACTCAGTGTAAAGGTTTAATAACAAAAACAACTTTGCAGTCGGAGTTAAATTTTCTTGCGACTTATTTTTCGTGTCTCCCAGAAACTATAAAATTCCTTGAAACCCGTAACTTACAATTATCGGATGCTATGGAAAAATTTGAATCGACATTGTTACACTTAAAAAACGTAAAGTGGCCCTTACAAGATAAATTTAACCATAAAATAGATTGTGTTATTAAAAGAAATCCAAATTTACAGACTCTGAAACAAATCTCCCTGAACAATTTTAACGATTATGAAACTGCTTTAAAATATTGTGATTTTGTTCCACATTTTTCATTTGCTCCTGTAACGAGTTGTGACGTAGAACGATCGTTTTCTAGGTTTAAAGATTTATTGACTTCTAAAAGAAGTAATTTCACTGAAGACAATTTAGAAAAATATGCAGTCATACAAACATATTTTTCAAATGAAGAAGATTGATATTAATTTGTATTGTATATATTGTATATAATTGTATATTTGCTACTTTAGGATAAAGAGTGTATATTGGAACACTCTAAACATAAAACTAATGATGGTGTATCCTCGTTGATATATTTATTAGTCAATAATATATTAACAGAAAAAGCCAACAACATTATCCCACAACACAATAAAAAAATAAATAATAATATCATTTGTAATTATATAATAATATCCAACCAAATTTGAACTAAAATTTAATAAAATAATTATTGCAATGTAAATGTAATAATAAGCCCGCCCCAAATGTTACGCCCGGGCGATAAAAATCCAATATCTTATCTACTGTGTCGACCAGTTCAGTAAATAACTTGTTTTATTCAGAATGTATTATTCAAATCGAAGGTCCGCTCTTACCGTTACTTCGCTGATAAGAATAAATTAAATTGTCCGGTCTTTACTTAGAACATGCACAAAGCAGTGGATGTTAAAAAAATCTCAGGAATGGTGGAAAAATTCACTAGGACAGACATGCCAAAGTTCTTAAAAGACCATTATCAAAACTGACTGAGCATCTACTAAGCGATAATAGGAGAAATACTAGAGTACTAGTAGGCCTATTAACAGCATTGTATGCTTAACAAACATATGTATATCATCGGTCTGGCAGATGAGATCTTTTGCCGATTCTGCCAGGAAGAGGAGGAATCTACAGTGCACTTATTGTGCTACTGCAAAGGTTTATCAAAACTGAGATTCCTTACACTTGGAGAAGAAAACCCACTACTTCCCTACAAATGAACAAACTAGACAAGATACTCTACACAACGATTAAAGGATATCTACAATAGATTTGATAAGGTCGAAGTGGGGGGGAGGCCACATAGCCCACAGTCCTAATAAAACTCATTAGATGATGGATTAGAGCTTCAGTTTAAAATTTATTGCTTTTCTCTTTATCCGTTTTTGAGTTATTATCGCGAAAATAGTCAAAACGGATTTAGGGGACCTTAAAACATAAAAATTCGTCCAAAACGAAAAAAATCATGATTCTTATTGCATTGTATACAGACAGGAAAATAAAAATGTAGTGACTATTATAAAAAACAAAAATAAGTATACAAATTTTGTAAATAACTACAATCGATAGGTTGCCTGCACATAAGACTCTTACTTTCTTTATAATTTATTGTATTGTTGGTCCAAGATATTGTCATCTGTCATATTATTGGACCAACTTTCGTTTAAAAAAATGTTTGCACAGGACATTTTTTTGTTTTTTCAATTTGTTAATACATGAACTTACGCCCGTTTAACATGGAGCAATTAAAATAAATTCGTTTGCGTATGTTAAAGTAATCTTAGCATTTCTTTTATTTTTAAAGTTATTAATATTATTTTTTTTTTTAATTGCATTTTATGTTCTTTTTATTGGAATTCAAAGTAATTGTATAGTTATCTATGTAGAATGATAAGACTTTTTGAATATTTTAGATAAAATAGATTGATACACAGATATCTTAATTTCGAGGATTGTGTACAGAGGAAAGCAAATAAGGGCTATCTAGAGATCGATCCTTTTAATATAAGAAACTTACAGAAGCATTTTGACCAATTACTAGTATATATGAGAGTAATAGTCTTATCAAGAGTACCTTTTTGTAGTAAATGAGTTATGCAATCCAAATTTCATACTCAAATCCTTTTTCTTCCGTTGGCATAGAAATGATGTGCAATTATTGAAAAATCAAGTTCTACGTCAATGGATTAATATTAGTCATAATTTTGATACGATTTTTTTCTTCGCAAAACTGTAAACGTACCAAAATCGCATAAGCAGTTTTACATTTATAATGGAGAACTATTTAAAAATTTTAACTTCAGGGCCGTCTAGCTCCCAAATTGAACAATATCGTACAGAGGTACATTTAATTAAATCTGTTAATTTTGGTCTAAGAAATATGTGGTATACTTTTGTAAAGACTTTACAGACATCCTATATATTGTTTGAAGGTCGTAAAAAAGTAGTTCAAGAGCAAACCGGACCTCTCGCGAAAAGCAAAAATGTTGAGGATTTTATAATATAAAATCGTATTTATACCAACCTGAAAGTCGTCTGGGTAGAACTAGCACATCAAATTTCCGTCTAGGAATCTCGAAAGTCGTTGATGGTCGAATGGTTAGGGCACATGTCCGCAGAACATGGATGTCTGGGTTCGATCCCCAGCGACGACAGTCTTTTTTTTTCAAATCTACAAATATTTGTTTTTACCTTTGGGGTTCGGGGATGGTCTTAATAATTCGTAGGGGGATTGTTGAGATTTGTTTCCGAATTATTAAATTATTTTTCAATTTATTTCAGATATTTCTGACTTTTCGGATTTTGATTTGCGATCTACGATATATTAATTCACATATTTTAATTCATAAATTCATTTAAATGAAATAATAACAGTTCAAAATATCATATTTTGCCATAAACGACTTTTTAGACCAATTTTTTACGTTATCTCTAGTTTACTACATTCCATCGACTGTATGTAGCATGGACTATACCGCATGTCCAAATAAGGACGTCGGCTATAGGTAATTTACCTTAGGTAAGATTTGACAGATTTGTATTCTGCTGTGCCAAAAAATACTTAAAATTTGATGAATGCTAGAAAATATCGTAAATTTCTACTAAAATAACTATTACCAGACCTTAAATTTAGTATAAAATAGATATTTGAGTTGTTTTACCCTATTTTAATTAAAACATTTAAAAACCTTTTCCAGGTTGATGAGATAATCTGGGTAAAAACTAACCAATTACAGCGGATTATTAGAACCGGCCGAACAGGGCACTGGTTGAATCATGGGAAGGAACACTGTCTTGTAGGAATGAAGGGTAGTCCACAAAATTTAAATAGAGGGTTGGATTCAGATGTAATAGTGGCTGAAGTTAGGGCTACAAGTCATAAACCTGACGAGATCTATGGTAAAAGAATATTATCTTCTAATTTTTTAAATAGATATAATTTTTATATTATTTTTTAGGAATGATAGAAAGGCTTTCTCCTGGTACAAGAAAAATTGAATTATTTGGAAGGCCACATAATATCCAGCCAAATTGGATAACTTTGGGAAACCAAGTGGATGGCATTAGGATACTTGATCCATTATTAATAGAGAATTTTAGAAAGAGATATCCAACAGGAAATTGTATGGCACCTCCACCAGAAAATACGCATACTTAATTTTTTTATATGGTTAATATAATTCTGTTTACCTAATAATTAATAACTGAAAATAAATAAGAAAAATATTTTTTTTTACATTTTGATTTAATTTCATACAAACTCTTACAAGTTTAATCAGTAAATTACAATACAAAATCGTTCTTAAATTAGGAAATATTTATTTATACAAACTGAATATTTACATAACAAATACAGAAAGTAATACTTTACAGCAGTGTCTCTCAAAGTGTGTTCCGCGGAGCCCTGGGGCTCCATAAAGCCTCTGTCGGGGCTCCGCGAAAATAATATTCATAATAAAAAAATACTATGAGGAAGTTCTTTCTTTCATTCATTTAGAAAGATCTCATTTTGCTTGAGGATTTTTTTTGGAAATGCGCCGAGGTTGCAAAGTAAAATTAGGGCTCCGTCGCCAAAAAAGTTTGAAAAACACTGCTTTACAGGATAAATAAGGCTAGTTGCTTTGCGAGTCACCAGTCGATCCCTGCACAGTCTAGGCTTGTAACACAATTATTGTTTTCTATAATATAAAACTACACTGTCTCAACTATTAATTATTGATCAAAAAATTAGGGCAATTATTGGGAAGACGCCATTTTCTTAAAAATATATATTTTTTACAAAACTTACATTTTAGTCTTTAGGAAGGAGAGTATTTTACAAATATACCACCGGAAACCCCATAAATTAACGTTTTTTTAAAAAATTTACATATTGGCTCATGAAGATCATTAAGTGATAATTTGTGAAATGATTTGTGAAAACTTATTCATTAGAATTATATCTGTCATGCTCTGTCAATACAAATTAGTGGGTTGCCACAACTAAAATCAACAAAAAATAAATATAAAAAAATACCTTCTTTTTGTCATAACATTTCCATAAGATATACTCTTTAAAAATCAATTCAATTAATTTATTTTTAAATATTAATATTACGTCATCTATAAAATAATAAACAAAACTTTTCGAAAACTTCAAGGTATTTTTTCGCGGCATAAACCAATATGAATGTTTATGATAGATTATGTTATTTAGACCAATCAGACATGTATGAATAACATAATTTATCATAAACGTTCATGTTGGTTTATGCCGCGAAATATTACCTTTTTGTGTTATCCAAACGTTTTTAAAACTTTTGAACCAAGCGAATTTATTTATTTATTTATTTGTCAAAATTTATATACAGAGTGTACAAAAAGTAACTTAACATACTAATATTTAGAGTCCTGATAGATTTACAAAAGAGTTTTGAAAAAAATTTTATGAATTAAATCAAGTTAATAAGAGATATACTGGGTTGACCATTACTCCAAAATTATGCAAGAATATATTTTTTAAATAATTTTTCTTACTCTATTAAATTTAAAATAAATCTATTAAAACTGCAATATGCTAACTTTATTATCTTTATAAATCCTTGCGTTATTTTGGAATAATAGTGCGCCCGATATATTTCTGACATACTGATAATTTGATTTATTTGATAAATTTTTTATCCAAAACGCTTATTATAAATCTATTAGAATTCAAAACAATAAAAAGATCCCTGACACCCACCATAAAAGCACGCTCGTCCTCCCACGTCCTAACTACCTTAGAAGCGGACGCTTTTGGTTTGATGTTTCGAAATTCGCCTGTGCTCTTTTTACACTTACACCATAAGAGCACGCTTCGCTCGTCCCACCCACCTGTTAACCGCTACAGATGCAAGCGAGCCCGCCCGGCCGACGTTTCGAAATTCGCGCGAATTTCGAAACGTCGGCCGGGCGCGGCTTTTTACACCTACATCATAAGAGCACGGAACGCTCTTCCCATCCACTTCCTAACCATTACAGAAGAAACTGAGCGAAGCAAGTGCGCCCGGCCAACAATTCGACAAGTACAGGAGAACAAGCAAAGCAAATACACCCTTTTTATATCTAAAATATTCCATGCTTACGCATGCGCAGATGATAATATGATAATTTAATGGGTTGTACTTTTCATTTCAATTTGAGCTGTGTCTAGGCCGTTGAAGTCCATGCCGAAGCCGTTACCGTATGAGAAGTCGTTGCTTCGCCTTCTTGTTGTATATTCACGGGCCGGCATGCGTATGGAATGGGTTAGATTTAATTAGGACTATGGGCCATGTGGCCTCCCCCACCTCGACCTTTTCAGATCTATTGTGGATATAATGGAATGGGTTACTAGAATATCACTTTGTCTTCTGTAGTAGTTAGGAGGGGAGTGGAACGAGCGTAGTGTGCTCTTTTGGTGTAAATGGAAAAAGAGCGCGCCCGACCGACGTTTCGAAATTCGCGCGAATTTTTAGAACGTCGGCCGGGCGCGCTCGCTTGCTTCTGTAGTGGTTAGGAAGTGGGTGGGACGAGCGTTCCGTGCTCTTATGGTATAGGTGCAAAAAACTTTTGGATAACACAAAAAGATAATTTTTCGCGGCATAAACCAACATGTCTGATTGGTCTAAATAACATAATCTATCATAAACGTTGTGCAGTAACCTTAAGTTAGTTGTACTTAGGTTAAAGAAAAATGCCTAAGGATTATGTTTTGTTAAACTTAATGGATCTTAAATGTCTAGAATTTCGTAGGGGTACATTAGATTTGTTATTTTCGCATAAAGTAATTTCAGAGTACCAGTAAGATATAATTTATTTTTCATTCCATTACCATATGGCTTATTTAGTCCTCTAACAAAAGTTCATTAAATATGGATCGATTTTGATATTCTCAGTACATCTTTGAATAGCTTTAGAAAAACTATCAAAACTATACCAATGTTGATGTGAGTGAAGTATTGGGTCGGGAATCCTCAGTGATTGTATACCATAATCGTATGGGGATGTTTCTTTAATTTATTCATAAAGCAATAGATAGTAGCACAAACAGGAAGCAGACAAGAAAACAGGAGGCACACTTGTGGTGGTGTGTGTATACGATAATAAAATTACTTAGGCAACCTTTAAAACCAGAGATTAGGGACATAAAGATAGGAAACGCAACGATAGCGTCATCTATGCGTCTCAGATGTTAACTAAAGGTATACGTCGTTTGTAGACAGGCCAGTGTTGCCAAATATTTTTTTTGAGAGATCTTACAAGTAGAGTAGAAAAATGGTATTTCAACAAAAAAATCGTACAATAAGTACAAGTATAGGATAATATAAATGGAATGAAAAATAAAAAAAAACTTTGGCATGATAATTTATCTATAAAAATGTTCACAAAAAAAAAAACTAAAGAAAATACATGAATCTTTTAACATATTTAAAGTAATCAATGACTGTCACTTGAAAGCGATTGAAATTTTGCATGCAACCCTTTGTTATGCCGTGATAGTCGGTGTTGGTACAAAATCACCATGGTCAAAATCACGATTAAGTGAGAACGAAAATGACTGCCTTCAGAAATTACGAACGGCCTATGAATCTTTGCAAGTAGTTTTTGATTTTTATTGTTTTATGTTCTAAAGTTGTTGCAAATGTTTAAATAAACCTACTAAAAAAGGGAAGATCGTATTTTTACGTACGATCTCACTGATGCAATCGTACATCATACAGGGGTCTATTCTGTAACAATTCCTTTATATTTTAACGGCCGTTAAAATATTGGCGGCCTTTAAAAATATTTTCGTATTCGCTAATTTACTTCTGTCATTATTTAAACGGATTCCTTTAAAATAGTCCTCTAATGTATTTTAAAGGAATCCGTTTAAATAATGACAGAAGTAATTTAGTAAATACGAAAATATTTTTAAAGGCCGCCAATATTTTAACGCGTGTTAAAATATAAAATAATTGTTACAGAATAGGCCCCACATAAATCGTAAGAATCCTGAATTTAAATTTTGAGTTAATGATTGTGTTATCCTCTAGACTAGATAAACTAAGCGAAATGGTTGTGTCTGTTTTTGTGTGAAATTTGAGGACAATAATTATATTTTATAATATTACAAGAAGTCGGAGAATGTATTGCATTAGTAACACAAGCCACATGAATAAATTTAACAACCCCAGTGTGGCGTTCTTTAATTAACCAAAGTAAGATCTAGTCATGTAAGTAACACAAATAGTAACCAACTTTTGTCAAAAGGTAGGTATTTTATTATTAATTGTTTTAGAACAAGAAAATGGCTTCAAAACGTTAGAAAGAAGATTTTATATAGAAAGAAAAATATCTGAATTCCCATTATTGAGTTTGCACTCAACATTTTTAAATAAGACACCATTGGCCATTTGTTTGGAAAATAAGAACAAAAATGTAATGTTACAAATAACGATCAAAAATTAAAAAATATTTATCATGAATAGATTTACAATAATTAATCGATAATAGACTGTAAGTGTAGTATTCTTTTTAATAATTTAGCGTAATTACATTGATTTAATTTATTTATGCAACCTTTATTATGTTTTTAAATTTCCCGCTGCGTTGTTTGATACCGATGAAAGCGCCACATAGTGGGTCAGATGTTAACTGCGTTAAAGCTGAGCATTGTTAAGCATTGGCTTCTTATGAGCGTTTCCTATCTTTATCTCTCTTATCTCTGTTTAAAACAGAATAATGAAATAGGCATATGTCAACAGCAGATAATTATACCCTCCTGTGTCCCTTAGAATGTCTTATTCAGGACCACATGATATTTGTTAGTAGTTACATCTCCTGTTATCTCTGAATTGTACTGATTTTTAAAATAATATTCCTTTCAGTTGCACCATACTGTATATTATAACTATTTCTCAGACTACTGTAGTTTTTGTGACCCTGTTATCTCTTAATTGTGTTATTTATTTTTGTAATGCTATTATAAATAAATTAATGGTCTAATGTTTGATATTCTTTTAAAGCCTTATCAGTTATATGAGAAAATATATGCCTAATAAGTTCAGTTTTTTTATCATTAGTGTATGAGCATTTTGTACATTTATAAATGTCACTGTTGGCATGGCTTAGTTGATGCTTAATTGTCTCAACATAAGTTATTGTAGAAGAAGTAAATTCACAATTAGTACATTTAAATAATTTGTTTGTTTGTCTTGTTTTGATTTTGTGTACTTCCTTCACATGTCGCTTAATGTTATATTTGTACCTACTAACTACTGAACAGTTATTTAAAGGACAACAGTAAATGTGCTTTCCACTAGAATCTTTCTTACTATATTCTTCATAATTATAGTCAACCACCCTAAAAATAAATTAAAAATATGCTAAAGAAAACATTTAAAAACTTGCAATAATTATGATCAGACATTAAACTTACTCGTCATTATTAGCATGATTTTTAAATTCTGCTTCTAAGCTGTTCAGGTAAATATTTAGCTCATCTTTTTCTTTCTTTATTTGAGTATTATCATAATTGTTATTACATATATTTTCTACACACTCTTTTTTAACTTCTGGTAGAATTTCCGTTTCATTATTTGGTTCTTTCTTAATTGAAACAACGTCCAATAGGTTTAGTTTTTCTTTTTTAACTTCTGGTATAACCTCAGTTTCATTATTTAGTTCTTTGCCGATTGAAAGAATGTCACATAAGTTTAGTTTCAAATCAGAGTCTAAAGAATTTTCTTTCAGATATGCAATAATTCGTTCTTCAGTTTTCACGCTATTTATTTTGAATTTATACATTTCTTCAAGTTTATCAAGGCACATACGGCACACTTTACAATCAGATGTCAAATTTGAATCCTAAAAAAATTATTGAAATTTGAGGTGAAGAATGAAAACCGTTTATAAAACACACATACCATTTCAAAAAGACAGTTTTCTAATAACGAAAGATCTTTCCATTTTCCTTGTGTTTTTTTCATGTCAATATATGATTGCGATTTAACTTCTACTAAACAAGTTCTGCAATAGTTTATGTTTGATGACTTCCTATATTGTTTGCCTCTCATTAAATCACTTAAAGAAGGATTATTCATATTGCATTTTTCTTTTTTTGTCTCGATTATTTCTTCAACTTCAAAAAAATTAGTTTTATATTCAAAAGCTTTTTGTATATAACTCAAACATTCTTTGCACATAACAGGGTTATTAGTAAATTCGAGTTTCTGCAAATAGATTACATTAGATTAAAGTTTAATTAAAACGAAATCAATTATTTTACCAAATTAGGTATTATAATACCAAGCATCGTTTTTAAAGAACCTTGTAGAGGTTCAAATTTTTCATTAATTTTAAGATTCAAACATATACGGCATATTTTACAATCTGAATTACTCATGATTGAAATGCAAGTCACAGAACACATGCAAGTAAAACTGGATACTGGGTACAGCTGGGTATTATTATATTCAAGGATAATTTCTATTTGATAACAAAACCATGGCGGAAGAGCTCAAGTTAAAAAGTGGTTAAAGTTAAAAATATAAACAAAAATAAATAAAAATGACAAATGACATGATCTTCTTTTTATTTTTCTATGGTCATTTCATAGAGGAAAGTTGTCTTCTTCTTCTACTTTAGTTAAAACGGCTCAGCATTACACTCTACCCAGTTATTTACATGTTTTTTGTTATTAAAGTTTCTCTATGGTCAGAGGCAGATCCAGCTGTGAGATCCAGAAATGTTCTGTGCCAGAAATCTTCTGTGCAGAGTGCAGAAATCCTTCCTCCATGATCCAGAATCAGGATCGTAAACAAAAAATAAAACCAAGATTGAGTTGGGTCTTTGGTCTTTTTAAGAATGAAAATTCTGCAGTTGTTATTAATAATAGGTATACATAACATTTCATAACTGAGGTCCTTATTATTTTTATTGTATTCTAGGTTTTAGTTTTGATGTATCTTTGTCATCATCAAAATGGATTTTGGAATTAGGTGATAATTTTATTGATGTACGGAAAGATGGAGGTTATTGGCTAGTCAAATTCTACACTCCTTGGTCTGGACAATGCAAAAGACTTGAACCAGTGTGGGCCCATGTTGTTCAAGCTCTAAAAAATACTCACATAAGAGTTGGCAAGGTGGATTGTTCAATATTTCCTAATGTAGGAAAAGCTTTTGAAATAATCACTTATCCTACTATTAAATTGTAAGATATATTGCCAAGATAGACAAAAATAAGTAGTTATAGTCATTATAGAAGCTTAACAATTAGCTTAGCGATTAGATTACCTTGAAAAATTAAACAAAATAGCTTCGTTCAATGAGACAGCAATCACATTCATTCTGCGATAGGTATCAATCCTTAGAAGAGAGGGTTTGAACACTTTTCGGTCTTTTGTATATAACTTTTTATTTAAACACATTTTATTAGGTCAATGGGGTCTATTCTGTAACAATTCCTTTATATTTAAAGGCCTTTAAAAATATTTTCTTCTTTAATTCGGTCACTATTTAAACGGATCTTTAAAATACATTAGAGGACTATCTTAAAGAAATCTGTTTAAATAATGACAGAAGTAAATGAACGAATACAAATATACTTTTAAAGGCCGCCAATATTTTTAAAGGCCGTTAAATATAAAGGAATATTTACAGAATAGACCCCTTTGTGTGTTAAGCCATATAGTGTTCCTTAATATACATATATTTTCTATTAAACCAGGGTTAAGCTGGGTTTAGCCAGCTCTTAATGCATAACTTTAATGGATAATGCATAACGCGTAACGAATAACAAATAAGGGATGTTTATACAGCACATAATTTTTATGCATTACGAATTGACAATTAACAGCTTTGACAGTTACTTTTCATTTTTTGACATTTTTGACCTAACGCCTTTAGTGTTCCAAATGACTGGAAAATGTTGAACATTCTCTATTAAAATTCCTTCTTCAAAGCTCATATTGACCAAACACTATTCTCACAAAAACCAAACTTCAACTGAAAATCAGCAACTGGCAGGTAATAACATTTTATTTGCAAATGGGTAGAAAAAACCCAAGTGGTAAATTAGAAATCCTAATTACAAACTACCAAACCCAACAATGTTAAAATGTTATCAATAGGTAAGTATACCTTTGCGAAAATATCAATTAAAGATCTACAACCATTACCAAAAAATAGCAAACAATAAAAAGTAAACAAACAAGATTTTAAGGTTATAAATTTGAAAATAATCAACAATGGAACATTTGCGCATGCGCTTTAGCTTTTTGTACACAATTCATAAAAGTTAAAAGTTGGTTAACTTTGTGAATTATCCACTATCTACTAAATTATACATTATCCACTATGCCTTGTATAAACAGATGTTTTTAAGTTTTAATAATTATCAATTGTGAATTAAAGTTATGCATTAAGAGCTGGCTAAACCCACCTTTAACTTTTATAAAAATTTTAAAATAATTATCTAAACCCCACTACATTTGTTCAAATCCTCGCTTGGCTGGTGTGCCTTTGAACAGAAAAGGGGAGGGTTTGAACATGTCCAGAATGAGCTCTAAAATTAAAAAAAAATATGCAGGAAAGGCCAAATATATTTATTTACTTAAGGTAAGTAACATTTAGGTACATATTTTATCTTAAATCAAATTTATCAAAACCCACATCGTTAAATCAGAATATTTTTGTAGCTCGCAATGTGCCACCAGTGATTGAGGGTTGAGGTAACTTTAAAATAATGTCTGACAAAGAAATAAGAGCCTATTTCAGGAAAACAAAAGATATTGTCTCCTGTTTTTCTGAGAAATTAAACATTCAAATCATCTTCTAATCTCGTTTCTACATCAGCCACATAATGAACTATACTTTTTTTTGTATTAAACTTCACTAGAACAAAATCGTTTACTATAATAGTCAGTGCTGCTATCATGGACAGGCATATTATCCTCTTCTGCACTACTATTGTTGCTCTGCAGAACTTTTCTCTTAATAACTTTTTTTTATCATTTTCATTAATTTTCTTTTCTAATAAAGAAATTACTTCATTCTCTAAGCTACTACCTTTTATCTGTGTTTTTTTCTTTAAAACGCTACCATTTTTTTTATTTTTTGGTAAATGTTTCATAATTTTTTTTACAATTCGCATAGTCTCCTCCATATTTGTGAATACCTGAGTCCTGTTATAATACTTAAAAAGTATAATATTTTTCTTTATCTTTGTTCTTTATTCTGTAATACAAAGCTGTATGTTTTATATTGTTTTGTTCAGCAACAACTCACAAAGAAATTTTTCTATTAACCACATCAGTTATTGCCTTCTGCATGTCCGCTTCATTAAATTCGACTCTCTTGTCCTTTTACTTGTACACTTCGGGGCATATTGATGGTTTACCACTGAAATAAATAAATAATTAAATATATTTAGTTGTCAATTCAAAATATTATTTCCTAATGGGGATGTTTTGAACAGTCTGGGTAGGCTTTGAACATCGTTCAAAGTCTCCCCAGGCTTGTAGTTCAAAACCTCCCATTGGCACTTGAATTACAATTGAATTACATTTTATGCTTATATTTAAATATTACTTTTGTAAACTTACCTCAAAAATATAGGAATACGCTCAAACAATAGAACAATTAAACACCATTGACATATTTAAAAATATGTATGTTGTAAGAATGATCAAAATAAACAAGGAATTTGACGAAAATATATACACCTAACAATGACCAAACATAATCTGGTAAATCCCCGGTAAATGACAGGCGATAAGAACACTGTAGCCAGTGCATTCCTATTTTCATAGATGACAAGAAAATATTGTAATTGTTCAAAACCTCCTCGTGTTCAAACCCTCCACGTTTCATTTTTACGCTCCTTTCTGCTGCGATCACGAAATTTGAGCTGCAAACCTCATAAAAATAACCTAAAAAACTCATAAAATCTGTCGCTCTTTGTGATTGCTTGAAAAATATATCTTTAACAACCTGGTTGTGCTTTACATAGTGATAAAAAGTAGATTGTTTACCAAAACTCCAAGTGACAAATAAACAAGTTCACTTTCAATTGCAAATGCTACCTTTCATTAAACTAGAATTGACGTTCGACACAAATTTAATTTATTCATATTGAACGTATGGAGCGTACCGTTCAGAAAGCTGATCCTGCTACCCTAATCGCAGCAGGAATTCGATACACTCATTGAACACAGCTAATGTAATTGGTTATGATTAAATCAACAATTATAAAAATATTTTACTTCTTTTGGAGGCAAATGCAATTTAAAAATACAGTGATGCTTCCCACCTCAATCATATGTTTATTACAAAACGGAAAAAAGGTAAAGTTGTAAAGAGAGGTATGTACTAACGTGCACTCTGACCCGCATACATAACCATATGTGTAAATATTCAAATATTTTTGAGCATTGCTGTCATGTAATATATACAGGGTAGCTGTTAAAGATGGAACCAAACCTATAGTGCTTAAACGGTTCAACATACAAATCCCAGAATTTCAATTGTGTTAGACCCTATGTGTGATACATTTTTGTAATCAGGATGTTAAAACCTTTCAAATGGTATATCATATGACCTATGTTGCTATTTAAAAAAAATCAAGATGGCGGCCATGCTTAACATTTTGTAATTATAAAAAAAATAATTTTTGGGCTAAAACATGCGCAAATATATTTAGTTGAAATTTTGGGTTTTGTATGTTGAACCGTTTAAGCACTATAGGTTTGGTTCCATCTTTAACAGCTACCCTGTATATAAACAATGGCATATATGAATATCAAGTAATTATTGTACATATTCATTAATTATTAAGTCAATAATTATTAGAGTTCATTTATATTTATCAATCCTTTTTCCAATTCGTTTATATTTATCTAGCTTTACAGTATTAGAAGGTTGCTACAATCTACTGAAAGAATATTTATGGTGTGAAATGAAATACCAGTAACCAGTAAACATTTTTAAAAATTGGACAAACCTAAACATGTCCATCCAACTTGAGCGTTATTACATACCTTTCCTACAACTTTACCCAAGAAAAAATAACTTTAATACAAAATCATTGCTTTGTAGTAGCTTTATGATTATAATTTATTGAATCAAGAGGTATAATTATATATATATATAAAAAATGGAAACATGCTAACTTTATGTCTGAAGCTTTGGAGAAGGGTCTACAGGTAGATTCTGTCCAAAATTTACTATGCAACACGGAAAAGAATTAATATATTACATACTCGTAAATAATAAATAAAGTTTTTTTTTCTAACAACAACCCCACCACGTTTTTAGTCTTATTTTTAGGCTCTTGAAATATTATAAAACTTTTCTACAAAATTGCAATTTTTAAATAATATAGGGTGCTTTTTTAGAACGAAGCCAACAGAGCACTATTTCTAACTTATTAAATGTCCCTCCCCTGTGACTCCATTTTTTATAATAAATTAGCCCATTATTAAAAAAAATATGCTAAAAAGGGAATTGTTATTAGCAATCCCCCTCCCACTCCCGAAAATTCGACCTGTGGCCACCCTTGATTTCACCTATCTGGGGACATACTGTATAATATACATAGTGGGCCACAGGTAACACCTCAGTCTATGAAGCCAAAACTATTTGAAATCATGTGAAATCAATTTTAGGTGATATCCGAAATACTATTTGATTTTTTAAAATTGATTTCACAGCGTATATTTTTTTGGACGTTTTATTAATTTTATTTATAAATATACAAATTATAAAATATTTTGTTACAAAACGCTTTTCCTATATCTTAAGAATGAAGCATTTTCGCATTAAGGTAATTTAGTGAAATCAAGTCTAATATCTAGTGTTTCCGTTTCACAAGAGAGTTCTGACAACCTTCATGTGCCATCATCAAAATTGACGAAATTTCTAAGAGCATCCCAGAATTTGTGTATGGAATTCTTAAAATATAGTTTTACTTAAAATGTTTTCCATCTAGGATAAAAGCTGAAGAAGAATTTACATTTGAAGGAGAGAAAACAACAGAAGAGATAATCAATTTTGCTATTAGATTATCAGGACCTCCTGTACAACAAGTTACTCGCTCCGAGAGTCTGTCAAACATAAAAAATATGAATCAGTTATTTTTTATGTATGTGGGAGAACTAGAGGGTCTATTGTGGAATACTTTTTATGATGTTGCTTCCAAATTTCAAGCTCATGCATTTTATTATTCTGCCAGTGAAGAAATAGCTATGAAACATGTTGATATCCATACATTACCTGCTGTTTTTGTTCACAAGGAAACTTCGCATTATTTTTATTCAGGTACAAACTTTGCTATATTAATTTAGATTCTTAAAGTGGCGAACCTTCCATTGATGCGGGTGAAGCGTCGCATCCCTTCAAAATATTAGCAGCTAATGTTTTTTTATTTGAAATAAAATCAATAAGATCTCTTAAAATAAATTGAAAGTCTCAAATAATTAAATTCAATTTCAATTATTTATATGTGTATTTGTCGAACTTTATAGAATACGCTCTAATACGCTACATATAGGTCAGCGACCTTTCCGGCCGTGGTCCGTGATTACGCGTTTCCAGTACGCAGTTTTCGCTGGAGGGTGATGCGGTCTCTTATACGCATCTCGTTCGTAATAATACGCGAATGCAAGTATCGTAATCGCGTTCTTCCCCTTCATTTCAAGAAAATGTAATAAATGTTTTCGCAATTGAAGGATTTTTACGTAAACTGCCCTACAGTCAAATATCACAATTGTAGAGAGTGACTCACATTTTTAACATAGACCTTTGCGGGTCTGAGGATAGGAAATCGACGAGTCATAGGCGTGCGGTTATTATTAAAAATGATCTTCCGCATTTTAGAACGAATTGGTTGTCACAAAAATTGTTTTTCTATTTTAAAGATGCACAAGGTGAGGAAAACCGGCAATAATAATTATTGAATAAGTATATATAAATTCAAATGTATATACGAGCCCTGTCTCAGTGAAGTTGGCTTAACTGCCAAAACCATGTTTTTTAATGAAATTTGCCATATTAACGAAAAACGTATTAAAAACTATAATATTTCTGATAACATATGATATGTTTATTTAATTTTAGCCTAAAATACCTTTTATTTTGTAAAAAAAAAAAAATCAGATAAATTTAAAAAAATTGTATATTAAAAAAAATTACGAAACCAAATAACATCAAATTACCACTGCATTACATCGCCTTTTCAACTGATTACTGATTCGATACACCTTGACATAGTGTCATTTAATGTTTGGCAGTCATCTGCTGTAGAACTGTTCCAAATTTCTTGAAGACGGGTTCGCAATTCTAGAGAAAAAAAGTTTTCCTGATATGCCACGTTTCAATAGGCGATAGATCTGGGCTACTGGACGTCCATTTTAAAAGTGGAATATTGTTTTCTAACATCCAATCTTTACTTTTTTTAGCCATGTGACAAGCGGCACCATCTTGCTGGAAGATACATTCCATATTATTTAAACCCATTTTTTCAATTTTGGATTTTAAGTTATTTTGCAGCCCATTAATGTACTTATCAGTATTCATAACACCGTCCACAAAGTGTAAGTTTCCCACTTCTTTAGCTGACATGGCTCCCCAAATCATAACAGAAGCAGGAAACTTAACTTTCTTTCTAAGACAGTCATTCTGAAACACTTCTTTTGTTCTTAGGACATGAGTCCTACAATCAACAATGCATACTTTAAATCTGGCTTCATCATTCCAAATAATAGAAGTTCTATTGGTGTGGAGACCAAAAATGATGTTCCTTTGCCCACGCTAGTCTATTTTTCTTCTGAAACTTTGTCAGTAAGGGCTTCTGCAGTGTTGCCACACCAATTAATTTTTTCGTAATAGAATTTTGAACCAAAAGGTAATAAAATCGTAATAGATAATATTTTAAAGTAACATAAATGTACCAGAACTATTATTAAAAACATTTTTCTACGTTCATGCAAAAAACAAAACTTTAATGAACTATATTTAGTGAAAAAAACTGGGTCTTTATTGCACTAATGCAATAAAAATTTTATTGCACTAGTGCAATAAAAATTTTATTGCACTCATCTGTCATTTCACTACAGCGTTTTATGATCATGACAAACATAAATATTCAAATCAACGCCAAATATTTAGTCCATTTTCATTTTCTGTGTTACGTTTTAAAAACAATTGCATATTTTATATTATTTTCAATCATTTAATAAATAAATTAATAAAAAGATGTATTTTATTAAAAATGTCATTACAAATTATGAACACAAACGTAAATAAATGCCTCAAACAAAGGTACACGATCACGGCTACTATGATTTGGATAATACAACTGCAGTTCTATAAAACATTTTTTGGTTTTTGCATGAACGTAGAAAAAATATTGTATGTAACTCGTACAAAAAGTGTTTATTGCACTCGACGTGTTGTCCAACTCGGCCTGACGGCTTCGTTGGACAATTTCACGTCGCGTGCGATAAACACTTACTTTTTGCACTTGTTGCATAAATAACTATTAACAATAAAACTTTATTATTTAGTTGAGAGGAAATTATTTCTGCTGCTGCAAAAGAATGGGGTAATGAAAATAAACGACAAATTATTTTTTTTAATTTTAAAAATTTGATTCATGCAGTGTTTAATTTTTATTTTAAAGATATTAGCCCAAAATTCACCTAAGGGTAATTTTTTGTAATTTAGTATTTCGTCAGTCTTGAAGGGGTCTACGTTATTAAAAACAATATATAAATTATGCTGGAGGCTGGTGGTTATTTCCTACTAAACTAAAAACTGACCAATAACAAAAAAAATAATACAATAATAATAAAGTGACGCATATCTTGGATTTATTGAAATAAGAAAACACAGAAATAACAAATGCATAGATTTCTAATTTTTTTAAGTATGGGCTAGAAACAAGTTTAAATGGAGCCACTCATAAAATTTTGATATTTTAAAAGGTAATAGATTTTTCCTCTTTTCTTAAAAGTCGTAATAACGTACTGGTGTAACTTTTTAGTAATAGATTTGTTACAATTGTAATAGCAACGGCAACACTGGGCTTCTGTTTTGCCTATGAATTATTGAATTAAAAACAAACAAAAAGCAAAACTTATTCAAGCATATATTCCCAGACAGCACACCAAATCCTTTGGATATCTACTGGACATCCCAATATCCACTAAATGTCCAGTCCATGGTGGATATCTATTTTATATCCATGAGATGTAATTTATAGTAGGAATGACGACGGGTACCCGTTACGCCCACGGGTCCGGGTTATACATTTTGCTACCCGTTACCCGTTAGAACCCGTTGGAACCCGTTACGAACCGTTAGCCCGTTAAGGCCCTTTAATAATTATTTAAGAATTTAAGACCCGTTAAACCCCTCTATCTTTTTTATCTATAGAGCTTCAGACCTGCTTCATTTGTTTTTAATTCGGGGTAATAATTTCCGCAATCATTGAAAATAAATATTTAATTTCCATGAAGACACAAACGTAAATATAATATTCTACATCTATACAGTATACACAAAACAAACAAATCTAAGAAGTAAGAATGTAAGAGGTACCCTAGTTATGTTATTTGCATTCTGCATACACTCGATTCCTGTTAACAAAAAGTAGTTTTGTAGAAAATTCGGGATTTAAACGAGTTCTATTTTTGGTAACGATTCGACCCGCGGCGGAAAAATGACGCTCACTCGCAACTGAAGTGGCAGGTATTCCCAAATATCGTTTGGCTACAAAAGCTGTAGCCGGAAATTCCTTTTCATTCACTTGCCACCACGAAATGGGATCGTCGCTCCTTTTAATTTTCTTTGCCGCAAGAAACCGCTCGTATTCATCATCCTGTACCTGCTCTTCACTCTCTGAACTAGAACCTAAATAAGCGAAAATACATATTAAATTAGTAATTCAACTGTATTAATAATTAAAAATTACCAAATAATTCCTGAAGTTATTTTTTGTTGCTTTTTGTCTTCATTTTTTCTTCACACCGCTGTTTTTCTTTCTTCTCTTCCCCGACTTCTGCATTCTTGTATTCTGTGTCTAAATGTGGCTGTTCCCGATTTTTATTAGATTTAATTTCTTCGCGAATATCTGCATAAATTTTTTGACGCAACTCAAAAGTGACGAAGAAAAAATTGATATCTTTAAATCTCGGATCAACTGCCATGGCCTTTAGATATAGGTTATTACTTTCCTCAATTTTGTTTATAAAACGTGTATTTAATCCGGATATTAAAGCATTTGTAAAGTCTTTTAAAACAGCGCTATCGTCTTCAGAGTCGTTTGAAAATTTGTCAAAAAGTGCCACTACAATACTTAAAACATCCGATATGGTAACATACTTTTCTCCACAAACTAATGTATTCGCGATTTTTAGAAGGTTAAGCGTAGGTAAAATTTCTTCCATATGCGACTACATTTCGTCCTTCAGGTCTAAGTGCATTGCGGATCGTTTTGTTACGTTACTATCACCAAGTACAGCACGCACGGACCATCTAAATTAAACAGAAGAAAAAAATGTTTATTATAATTTTCACTTATTCTGTAAAGATTAAACAAAATTTACCTCTTTCCAGCATGTGGTATATAGAATTCCATCGTGTGCGACAGTACTGTATAAGTGACAAGGGTTCTTCTTCAACTCCCGTTTCATCCCAGACAGCACACCAAATCCTTTGGATATCTACTGAACATCCCAATATCCACTGAATGTCCAGTCCATGGTAGATATCTATTTTATATCCATGAAATGTAATTTATAGACATGCAAATGTCCATAAATAATAGTAATTATATAGCAAATTATTAAAAAGTTACGCCATTGTGCTCGCCATTGTGGCTAATAGTACCGTTCAGATATTTAAAATTAATTTTTTTAAGGTGTATTCAATATCCCATGAACATCCACTAAATATATCAAAGTGTAGGCGCGAACGCAAACCATCGTGGATATCCAATAGATGTTATTTGATTCTGCTTACTAAGTATAGATGGCGATACCACTATCGCATCTACTCATGCTCGACCCGCCGTAATTGAGTTCGATCGAAATGTGTGTCCTAATCACTCCATTAGAGACTGGAGTCGAGAATTTTCATTTATTGCTGAAGAGTCCTAATAAGGATGACTTTCTCCTTAGTGGGCAAAATCAAAGGCATAGTGTTGAAAATATTTTTTATCTCTGCTATTTTCTTTCGACGTTATTCAATAATCATTGGTTACTTATGAACCTCTGCTAAAGATACCCATAAAATATTTTGCTGAATATCAGAATATC